TATATATATTTATTTATTTATTTGCTGGTAGTGGAGATCAAACTCAGGACCTTGCATTTGCAAGGCAGGGATGGTGCCACTGAGCTAAATCCCTGGCCCTCTCTGTTCCTTTAGGGCAGAGCTCAGCAAATTTTTTTTCTTTTTGGTACAGGAGATCGAACTTGGGTCCTTCTGCCTGCACAGCAGGCAACGAAACCACTGAGCTAAATCCCTGGCCCTTTCTTTTTCTTTTTTGCAAAAAGGCTGCCTAACAAATGTTTCAGGTTTTGTGTGCCACATAGTCCCTGCGGCAGCTCCTCCCTGTGCTGGTCTAGCACAGAAACAAGCACAGACTATCAGCCACTGGCCCTGCTCCCATCAAATTTTTACAAAAAACAAGTGATGAGCATGTCTTGCCCTACAAGCTGTGGGTTACCAACCCTTGATTTAGACTTTAGACCAGCTGAGATGTCAGAAGCAACAGAGAAAACCAATTTTCTGATTAACAGATTGTCATGTATATTATTCTTTGTATCAGTGAAGTTGTTTTTCCACTTCGACATTTCCAGTTTTCCTCTGAGTGTACAAAATCCTGGCTGGGCTTTCCAATCTCATGTTATGTTAGATTTTGATGGTACTTTCTAAACCACCTGCAGATCCTTTTAGGAAGGGGGTCTCTTACATGCAGCTCCTAAGCAGTCTGCCCTGTGTGCAGGACCCTCTAAGTATGGAAGGTGCTAGAAATAAATTGCGAACTGTGCTCTCTGTGTTCAAAGAACCGAGAACCATCGATATGTGAGCCAGTGAGCTTCACACCCTAGCCTGGCCCTGCAAGACCGTTTTTTCCATGCTTTTTATTACAGTTGTGTTTCTGCTTATCACCTCTGGGTTGCATGTTTCAGTGCCCCTTTTTGCAGAGCCACTGCATGGTTTGTGTGAGTACCACGCATGCCTCATCCAGCTTTCTGGAACCTTCCGGTTCCTCGGGTGTGTGGCCCTGCTGTGCTACTCTGTGAGCATCGATGCGCTGCTCATGTTCACTACAGTTCGTGTGGTTTTTGTACTTATGCATTGTGCTTGTTCTGGTTCCCCAATCCAGAGGCTTGGTTCTTGTTTCTGACAACGTCACGATGGTTCGCCGTGCGCCTGGATGCCATCTGTGCCATCTTTGTCATCGTTATTGCCTATGGGTCCCTGATTTTGGCGCACAGTAAGTGCAGATGTGAATAACTATTTATGGTATGACTACAATTTATAGCTGTGTTTACAGTTATTAAATTAAACTCTTGCCACCTTCTTTAATGGTATATACTGTTTGGTTCTAATGAAGTGTATTAAAGCATTTACAGAGTGTCAGCATGGATGTGATTCCAGAATGTGACCCGTTTAGAGCAGTCACTGGGTCTTGATGGATCCCTTTTATCTTTCTTTGAATGGCTTGAGGTCTGTGCAAATGACATTCTGAAAATTCCTGGTTACATCTGGTAGTTGTGAGGAGAAAACCAAAATTGCTATTAAGCATTTTGTCCTTAGGGCTTTATGTTTTAGCATTTGGGCTGCTTAGATTATTGGTGTAGTTGCCTGTGTGCTGCATTGAGAAGGAGTCTCAGCTGGCAAGAGTATTGCCAGGTGGGTACCAAACAAGCAGAGGTTGGCATGTGTGGTGTGAATTTGCCATCCTTGGCTTCCATAGTGACACCACTGAATTGTGATATTTAATAATAGAACAATGAGAGTAGTGTTTTACTATGCAAAACATCATCTCTTAGAACCCATTGCCTTGTTTTTAGTGGTTTCCAACTGTGGTTACCTTGGATGTAGGCGCAGAAAGTGTGGGATTACATAATGGGTTGGGAAACCGTAATGAGGTATGTCTGAACAGTGACATTACTTCTCATATATATAATGCTGTTTTTCAAACATATGCTTATTCTGTTGGGATTAATAAACTCATTTAATAAGCTTTCTGAAAGCACAGTGGGTTTAAAAATCGTATCGTGATCTCAGTCAACAGATAATAGAGGTGTAACTGTTGCTGTCATGACATGCAACTTGCTGAACCCTCTTGGTAGCTTGGTAGAGGGCGCCAGGCACATTTTACAAATGGGATTGACTTTGTTCCCTCCTCCCTCCTTGTGTAGCTTTGGATGCTGGGCAGGTTGGCTTGGCCTTGTCCTATGGCCTCATGCTCATGGGGATGTTCCAGTGGTCTGTTAGACAAAGCGCTGAAGTGGAGAATATGGTAATGTTTATCTGAACGTTCTCGGCCTTTTCAAGTCTCTTTGCCATTAAATGGCATAAAAGCAGTTCTTATGTAAAATATTAAAACTGTTATTTTTAATCGTAGCTAACAGTTTTTCAAGATCCTTCCTCCATCTGTTTAAAGTTAATGTAAAATAAAATATATACATCTTTTTCTCAGTCTCATGTATGCTATGTCAGCAGGTTTTATATTCATCACAAGCTGTCTTCAGATGTAATAACTGTCTCTGTAGGAGGGAAGTTCTGAGATCCTAGAGAGGATATAAGCCAATTTCTTAGAGGCCTGTTTATTTTTATTTCTTAATGGGTAATTCCTCATTCTTAGTAAAAGAAGAATTCTGTATTTTGAGGTTGTATGTTTGTTTAATTAATAGGTCTCCCCCACCCTCACCCCAACCCACCCACCCTGGTTTTATAGTGTTAGCATTTATTCTCCTATGTGAGGAACAGAAGAAGCCAGAAAGCCCAGAATTTGCTGGTGTTTCTTCCTGGTAGGGCTAACCACCTCTTTAGTGTGCTCCTCCAAGAAGCCAGCCATGGTTGTTTGGGAGGGGCTTAATCAGTATGTAAATTACTTCCTCTTTTAAATAGTAACACCTTCTCCTAGAGAGAGATGAACAGTGAATGTGAAATATTTCCATTTTGCTCCTCCCATAGAGCAGAATTATTACAATGAGGTTTGATGACTGACCTAACTGATGGATAGCAAGTGGCCACAAAAGATCACTGATTTACTTTTACAAAGTCCTCGTTGTGTTCAGTGTCAGAACATTGAAAAAATTAGTCATAAGGGAAGGTATAGCATGATGATGAACACAGTAGCAAATCATCGAGATCCTCATCCATCTTTAGACGTTAAGGCCTGGGTTGTCCTTGTCCTTGACCGGAGCATTTCGCGACCAGCATGGACACCCACAAACAAGGCTCTCCAGTTGTAACACATATGGATGCCATGTCTCTTTCAGATGATTTCAGTGGAGAGAGTGATGGAATATACAAACCTAGAAAAAGAAGCGCCTTGGGAGTACCAGAAACGCCCGCCGCCGGGCTGGCCCCAGGAAGGAGTGATCATCTTTGATAACATGAACTTCACGTACAGCTTAGATGGGCCTGTGGTGTTAAAGCACCTGACAGCACTCATTAAATCAACAGAAAAGGTTGGTTTGAATCATCTTGCTTCTTCTGAGTTTCAAGTAAAATAAAAGCTCTAGTGCCACATCTGCTCGTTGGCTTCCTGGTGGACCTGTTAAGGGACTTATTGTCTGTCTGGGTACAATCGAGATCAGTGACGACAGAGATGAGTGTTCCTTGGAAATGGGGTGTGGGATGAAGGAGGCTGCATTTCCTTCTTGATGCTGCGAGCTCCCTCATGGAGGTTGGTGGGCCCTGGACATCAGGATTGGGTTTAACCTGGCTCAGGATGCTCAGGATACTGTCTTTGAACATCTAATTATTCATGATTGTATCTACAAAGTCAACCGCAGCTCCTTGTCATTGGGACTCCTGTCTCCAGTTCCTATCAGGTCTTGCTCCTTGTATTGCTCAGGTGATTTTGTCCATCGTCCCTGTCCTTTCCTTAGTCTGTCCTGCCTTCTTCTCACCTCTACTTTGCTTTTACTCCACTGGCCTCCAGCAGGCTCCTGTTTCTACGTAAAACACAGATCTGGTGCTCACATGGCTCCCCCGCCCGCGGACTCCTGGGCTGGGTGAGCCACTGTTGTGACCTTGTCCAGACCCCGCACCCAGGCCTGTGTTGGCCAGAGCTACATAGCCAGTTCTCAGCCACCAGGAAAGAGCACAAGATACACAACCCCATCAGAGCTCAGAAGCCAGAGCCCCAAGCTGCAGGCAGCTTAGAGCCCAGAGCCTCACTCAGAATCCATGGAAGGAGAGCCAGGAGGGGTGTGTGAGATGACAGTGAGGTTTGGGGCCTGGATCTCTCAGCATCTACACCAGCAGCAATGCCCCTTTCACTCACGGGGGTCGAGCCCTTGAGGGACTGAAGCAGAACAACGCAGGCAGTAGGAAGTCCTCCACCAGCCTTGACTGGTGGGGCCAACATGGGCACAGCCCTCTGCACTCAGGCTATCCCTTGTTCTCCCTGCTCCTGGCTTTGGGGGCCCTTTTCTGCTGCTGTTTGGCTGCAGAAAGGCTCCTCATTTTCAGAATCAGTCCAGATATCTCTGCATCTCTGAAAGTATACCATCTTCTAGATGCTTGAAGATCGTATTTGTGGTGTATACACATGGTCATGGCTGGATTATTCATAATTGATGAAAGGTGGAAGCAACCAGAGTATCCATCAGCAGCCGAATGGATGAGCCAAGTGTGTTGCATATTCCCAGTGGAATGTTATTTAGTCTTAAAAAGGAAGGAAATTCTGACATGTGCTACAGTGTTGGTGGGACTCGAGCACATAAAGCTGAGTGAGGAAGGAACAATATTGTATGACTTCACTAATGTGCAGTGCCTAGAGTAGTCCAGATCTTAGGAACACAAAGCAGAACGGTAGTTGCCAGAGGTTGGGGAAGCAAGGAATGGGGAGTTGTTTAACACATCCCTGACAACTTGAACCCCTGGTGGTGCACGCGTGACTGTGCCATCGATCGATGGGACTGTCCGTGCTGCCTGGTGGGCCACGTATGCGTGTACCACTAGTGGCTCAGAGCTGCCCAGCAGCGAGACATACCAAATACAGCCCTGTTGTGAATGTGTTGATGTACAGTGCTGGGTATTTTAGGGGCTGCTCATTTAAACTCTTCCCACCTCAGACCCATTTAATGACCTAATCACAGTGGGATTTCATGAGTGATACCCTTGTGACGTGAAAGAATGAATATACCACTTGGTGCCCAGAGGGTACATAGAGAGCAGCTTTAGTAAACCATTTAGCAAAAGCAAGCTTCTCATTGTTTCCACAGCTTCCTGGTAGTTCTGAAGGTGGCGAGGGCAACTGTGTGGGCAAAACGTCAGCTGCAGCTGTGACAAGCGCTGGTCCTCTAGTTCTGTGGGGATGGTTTCGTACATGCACACAGTGTACCAGATCTGACGCTGCCATGTAATTCTGTTCATTTGTGCACGGCTCAGGTATCCCCATAAATATCCGTGAAGCTACAAAATATGAGTCAGCCAAGAAACTGTACAAGTTAGGAATCCATATATCCCCAGATTACTGTCTTTTTTTTTTTTTTTTTAAGATTCTTCAATCTTAAAATCCCCAAATCACAGGATTACTTGAGATTCCGAAATGTTTGAAAGTAAATGAAATTTGAAGGCGCCATTATAACATCTACAATAACTTGCCTTTTGATTTGTGCCTTGACTCACCCAGCAGTATTTAGGGATTGTGTCCAGGGCGCGTCCTCGGGGGATGATTCCCCTCTGCTGTGACCCTGGGGTGTCATCGCCTCCACTCCTGTGCCCAGCCCCCGGTTTGCACTGTCCCTTTGGTGTCGGATTTGATCGGGGGAGGCGCTGTTCAGGGAGGACGTGGAATGCGCCGGCGTGGCAGAAACGGGCCTTTATTTTTTTTCAGTGGTTTCCTCTGCTGAGATTCCTGCAAGTTACAGTAAATAGGCGAATGTAATCGGTACTAAGCAGGGAAGAAATAGCAAGTAAAAATGAAGAACAAAAATGAGCTAAATATCACCCTAGGCTTCCAGGTGAGATTTTAAACAGTGGCTGCATTTTTTCATTTAGATGATTTTGTGGTTGATTTGATCATTTTAGAAAGTACTGGGCCATTTTAAAGCATTTTCCAGCTCTAGAGATAGATTGATTTTGGTTTGTTATTTTTTTTTTTCTTGCTCAGACCTATTACTTTGATAATACAGTTTTACAGATGTGTATTAGACCTTGCTCTAATGTGCAGAAATATCAGTTTCCTGCATTTTCTCCTTTTTTACATAACGTTTTCTCAGAGAGCCCTCCTCATGCCTGGTGCTCCCCATTTCCCTTCCTGCTAGCCAGTCCTGGCTGCTCCAGCAGTATCCACTTCTGGAAATATTTTAGAAATGCAGATACTCAGAAGCCACCCCCTTACAGTCAGAAGCACATTTGGATAAGACCCCCAGTGAAGTCCTCTCTCCCACCAGCAATTTTTTGTGACCAGTAACCCATGATTGCCGAGAAACTTCCTGTGACACCTTGAAATTGAGCTCCTGGGTTACCCCAATATCTCTCAAGGCTGAATGTGAGACTCTAGAAGTCCTGGACCACTTACCACCATAGAGATTGTTGTGTTTTTTTACTTTTATATTCTGCAAGTCCTGAGTTTATGTTGCAGTTTAATTCTGCATGATCCCAACTGTATGACTTTATGTGCATCTTTCCGATTGAGTCTGAATTCTGCTGCAGAGCATGGCACCTCTGATCCAGCCATCCCCACATGGCTGTCCCTGGATCTGTACCTCATAGTACCCTACTCAGGCGCTGCTAGATCTTGAGTTCTTCTCACGACCTGAGGGCAGGGGACTAGGTCTGTCACTTCCCAGGTGAGCCATGGCCCCCAGTTGCAGGTTTCTCCCCAGCCTTGCTGTGGGCACCAATCTCTCCTGAGGACAACCATAGTCTTTGCACATTTTTGTCTTACCCCAGACATCATGCCCACCTGCATGCACACAGCATCCTCTACCCGCCTGGAAACAGATCTGCATGGAGGCCACACCTCTCCCTAGTCTCTCCCATCCGGGGAATCTGGGGCTGGGCCATCAGACTGATAGGGAGGCCCTCAGTACAGTGGTCAAGATGCAAGCCAACCTTAGTTTTAGTCTGCCTCAAATCTCATAGAGGCTCATTAATCTTACTAAGCCTGTTTTCTTCTTTAGCAAAATGGAAGTAATCGGACCTCACACCTAGTACTACAGAGCCTGATACCTTTATTAAAGGTTGCTGTCATTTTCCTGGGGTGTAAGATGAACTTAACCACTTACAGGGCATAGTTTGTTGTCTGCCCCACGAAATGAGGCACCAGCCACTTGCCACCCTGTTCATATGGTGATAGGAGTCATCTGCCACATCTCTCTTTTCCTACCAGTTTATTATATGCCTGAACAATATGTTGTTAATTCCAAAAATTTCTCAAGCATGAGCTAAACTTTCTGCTTCCTCTAGAATTTCTACTTTTTACAGGACACTACAGCTCATACAAAGGTAGGAAGGTGAATCCACCTGGACCCTTCCCTTGGCACATGCAGTCCAGCAGAAGAAGCTAAGTAGTAGCTGGGCGTGGCGGTGCACACCTGCAATCCCAGCACTCTGGGAGGCTGAGGCAGGAGGGTCACAAGTTTGAGCCTAGCCCGGCTGGGCAATTCAGTTACTTAGCAAGACTACTCGGTAAGACAGAAGAAAGTCACAGAGTTATAGATGTTTAGCAAAAGTGAATGTGACATCTGTTGTCTGCATGAGGGGACAGGTAGAACATTTTTGAGGAATTCACCCATTTGAAATAAACTTGGAGATGGTGGCTAGGATTTCAGTGGAAGGGGACGCATGTGAGTGCCACAAGGGTGAGCACAAGGCCAGGAGTCCCTGAGGATGAAGACTCAGGCACCTTCTAGGACATGGTGGGAGGACCTCCTAGATGTGTGACACATTTTCACTTTCAGCCCTCACACCAGTGTAGGTGCCCCCAAGGAAGCACTCCTGTAGCTAAGGATCGAAAGGTCGGGAGTGTTCTGCAGTGGTGGTTTCCAGTGTGGAGCACCAGTTACAGGGAGGCACTTCACAGAGGGAGTCTGAAAAGCCAGGGAGGCACAGGAGGCAGGAAGCCAGCAGCCCTTGTGCTGTTCTAGCAAGACACGGTGGGGAAAGTGATTGCACTTTTGGGCATCAAACTAATGTTGATTCAGAGAAAGTTAAAGCATGCAGGTTGGCAGATGAGCAGGGAGCCAGGTGCAGTGGAGAGAACCCTATTTCTGAAGGGTTAGTTGGCAGTACCTATCAGCTGCCTTTGCAAATGTTTTGTATTTGTTGCTCAGCAGTTCCATGTCTAACAATTGATGTTAGGAAATAATTAAGGTTGCAGAGATTTAGCTTCAAGGATATTTAACATGGTGTTGTTTATAATAGCAAATTATTAGCCTGAACATTCACCAATAGGGAGTTGGTTAAATAAATGATCACATATACTGAAATATTATATGGCCCTTAAAGAAAGGTTTTTATGAAATAGTACATGAAAACAGAGTATATTCATATTCATACTAATCTCATGTTTAAATATATGAGTTTGTAACTTTAGGAACACACACACACAAACACGCACACACGGTCCACCCAGATAAGAGCGGTTCTATGACAGTGCTGGAGTTATGGCTAATATTTTTTAGTTTTCAAATTGATTTTCATTGATTATAATTAAGAGGAGTTTGGTTTATTTTGTTTTTAAAATCCTCACACTCAGGTGATGGCTGCTGGAATTAAAATGAGGGCATTGAGTCAGGAAACAGGCATCGGGTCTTAGGGCAGGACACCAGGCTGTCATGGGAGGACGCTGGAAGCAAGGAGGGTATTAGAGAGTTCAGAGATCTGGGGACATCTGGAGCAGCAGTGTGTAAGTGAGATGTTAGGCACTGATCATGTTGGATTTGATGGATAGAGAGAGATCCAAGTACAAATAGGTGTCTCACATGCTGATGCATTTCTCAGGGACCAAGCTTGGCCCTCCAGGGAAAACATACAGGGGCAGTTACACAGTGGTTAAAGTAAGACTGTGGTATTCCATCGTGTTCCTCTGGTGGCACGAGCTGGTATTAGTGGTATCTTCCCCTGACATCTGGTAAAACCCTTTGGTGACCTATGATAATCATTCAAACCATAGGTTTTTGTTTTTGTCTTTTTTTTTTTTTTTTTTTTTTTAACAACAACAACCACAAAACCCCCAGAAATTTGTTCTCTGACAGTTCTCGAGGCTGGCCGTTCAAAGTCAAGTTACCATCAGGATTGGCTTCCCGTGTGGCCTAGCAAGGCTTGCAGATAGTCATGTCCTCTCTCCATCCTCATGTGGCCCTTCTGCGTGCATGTAGGGTGAGCCGCATCTCTAGTGACGCCTCTTCTGAGGACACCAGACCTGTGGGATTAGGGAGCCACCCTATGACTTCATCTACTTTAATTATTTCCTTAAAGGCCCTGTCCCCTGGTGCATTTACACTGGGGATCAGGGCTTAAACGTATCCATTTGGAGAGGACACATTCAGTCCATAGTATTTGTGATGTTTTGGTGAAAATTGGGCATTTGAACAAGCACCATCTTCCTTCCAGTATCCTCCAAGGGAAGACCAAGCCTATGCAAAAGATGATCTCCACTAATAAACCTGGTTTGAAGGTTCGGGAGCCTACTAAGCCCTTTTTGAGGATATATGACTTTGAAGAACAGAGAGAAACCTAGGTTTTCTTTGAGTTGCCTTTTAATTATCCTCACTTGAACTTGTACCTCAAAGTCCTGTGGTTAGATGCAGCTCTTGGTGTCCCCTGCTTTGAAGGGGCTCATCTGGCCATTTACTAAAGTCTGCAAAGGTTTGGGTTTGAGCAGGTATCAGTTTACCATGGAGCCAATAGCCTGTGAGCTCTGAGAGCCCAAACATCTCATGAACATGGCATCTGCCTGTGTTTTGAAGCTCAGCAGTTTGCATAAGAGAAGGCAGAAACAAACCTGAGCCATGTGCAAATGCTCCAGGACATACATACCCATGAGCAGAAAGCAGCCCACCTATAAAATGCAAATTAGAACTCCTATGAAGTGGATTATGTCTATAAAGATTTTTTAAATTAGGTAAAGCCACTCCTTACATTTAACCTCTATAATGATAATTTTTGAAACGCCATTGTTGATTTTATGGATTTTTATTTGAAGGGATTCCAGTGAGATAACATGTAAAAATTCCCAGCACATAATCAGAGAGCAGCAAAGTTCAGTTCCTCACTATTTGAAGCAATGAGATTTTAAATTTTACTGAATTAACTGACAAATGGTTGAAGACGTGTCTTCTGCCCTTCCCCGATTCCAGATTTTTAAATAAGGATGCTGTCATCTGGGAAGCTTTCTCTCACCAGGGGATTTTCAGTTCAGGAAGTTCCTCGGTAAAAAGCCCAGCTTTCTGAATACAGAGTTAAACGCACACTTCTCAGAAGCCAACTTTTACCATACAGCTTCCTTCCTGACCAGCATGTTACCTGCTACAATCTTAACGATTCTTTGATCTTATTGTCAGTGCACTTCATTTCTCTTTGGCTTTGGCTTTAGTAAGAGGAATGATATTTGACGTGAGTCTTTCCCAAGGGCAACTGCAAGTATTAATTGGTTTGTAAAATGCCTTTTGAACTGCTCAGATGAAAGACTCCCCCATATAAATAGCAAATGTTATTTGTGTTGTTGTTGTTGATCTCGTTATGCATGTTTTGGCTGCTGGTTACTGTCTTTTAAGATATGGGAGCCCTGTATTTTGAAATTTTAGGGTATTTCCTTTTGAGGTAGAAGAACATAACAAGATTTAGTTTCTCTACCATGAATAATTTATCTTAAATGGTAGAACTCTGGAAAAATCAGTACTTGTTTATATGTAACACTTCTCACTTGAGTTGTTAACATCTCTGTGAAATTATCCAAGAAATTCTCCAGGCTCAGAATACTTAGATATTGGAAGGAAAGCTCACTTAAAAGCTGTCTTCATGAAACCACTTAGGAAACTGCTGGCTTTTCCCTGGTAGGAGACTGGCAGCCAATTTTAACCCTTCCGTAGACCAGTGGGTCTTTGCAGTTCTGCTCCCCAGGGACACTTGTCAATGACTGACAGTTTGGGTTGTCACAGGGTGGGGCTGCTCCTGACATCTGGTAGGTTGAGGCCAGGGCTATTGGCGATTATCCCGCAGGGCACAGAACAACCACCACCGTGAGGAAATACCAGGCCCCAAGCTCACCAGTGCTGCAGTCGAGAAACCTTGGGAAGACACTGAATAAAACATCCACAATTCACCATAAAAGCCAAAAATTGTTCGCCTACGTTTGTTGCCTGTTATTCACTTTTAATCCCTCCTCTTGGATCTCTCCATAGGTTGGAATTGTGGGAAGAACAGGAGCTGGAAAAAGTTCCCTCATCTCAGCCCTTTTTAGATTGTCAGAACCTGAAGGTAAAATTTGGATTGATAAGATCTTGACAACTGAAATTGGACTTCATGATTTAAGGAAGAAAATGTCAATCATACCTCAGGTATGCAAGTCAGAGCGTTCATACATGTTCCTTTTATATGGGCACTTAAGTTGAATCGCTTTGAATTTTATTGGTCTTTTTTAATTGGATGGAAGGATTGATCCTTTCCCCCAATAGAGCGTACTTTAATAGGTATTTCCAGCAAGTATTTTCATCAGATACTACAGTTTATTCACATGTGGGTGGAGGAGATGGAGAGGACTGATTCAGTAATAACTACTTACCCAGATAGATTTCTGGACTCCACTCCCCTAGGTGCCACAGTTTTATCCACTGATAACCGCACAACTCTGAGGACGGAATGATAAATGGGTCATTTAACACTTGAGAGGTTTCTGTAGGGAAACGTGGAGTTTTAAGTCTCTTAATGAGGGAATTTTGCTGTATGAAGTAAAGCTACCCTTTCAGGGTGATTATCTCCATGGAGGGCCTTCTGTGAAACCATGGGGCTGTGAGATTTACAGAGCTTATGGATGCTTCACAGACCTTCTTAAAGTGTAGGCATCAGTACGTGATGTTAGCCAGAGAAGCAGTCAACACAGGATGGCAAGAAGACCAGGAAAAGGAATTCCAGCTTTCTGCACTTCTGTTTTCTCTTCCTTATCCATCAGCCAGTGGTAGTACCTCTTGAGAACTGTCAGTGTGTGCAGTGCTTCATGCGGACCTCATACCTTGTTGCCATAATGGTGGAGACTTTCACTGCTGTCTCCTTTTGGGCTCTGATTTTTTTTCCTTCTACTTCGTAATAAAAGACTTTCAGGGAGTGTTCTAGAGATTGGATTACATGGACAATAGAGGCTCCTGTCATTGCTTTCAGTTCATCTATTCACTGTCAATCCAGAAAGTATTTATTGAGTAATTACTGTCCTCCAGGGACAGCACAGGGCCTGTCCCCACAGGTCTGGGGCCTACAACTCTGGGGCTTCAAATCTTCATTCTGTCCTCAGTCCTGACACTCGCACGTACTCAACTCCAGACTTGCTAGGTGGGGTTCCTGGAGTGTTTTACACTCTGAAATCATCTGGCCATCGAGGGGAGCTAAGGAACACACACAGGTGCACATTTATTCCTGAGATGAGAAATACAGACAGGAAACAAAAGGAAAAGAGCTAGGCAGATCTGCTCTCTGGGTATGTGGGTAGAAGGAGCCTTCAAATACTGTTTATTAGGTAGCACTGAGAACCTGGCCATCCAGGGAGGGAGAACATGAGCATTTATCTTATGACTGAGTACAGCTATTGCCACCTGCCATTGACCTCCCAAATACTGGAATTACTTTGAGTAATTGTGAAATCAGGATACCCAGAACCACAATGAGATACCACCTCACAATGGCTACTATCAAAAAATTTAAAAAATAACGTGGTGGGTGAGGAAATGGAGAAATTGGAATGTTTGCGCTGTGCTGGTGGGGGTATAAAATAGTACAGCCACGGAGCAGAATGGTACGGCAACTCCTCACAGAGCTGAGAGTGACTGCATGATCCAGCGTTCCACTTCTGAGTATATGCCCAGAGAATCAAAGCAGAGTTTTGAGGAGATAGTACATCCATGTTCATCGTAGCATTATTCACAATAGCCAAAAGGTGGAAGCCACCCAAGTGTCCATCAACAGATAAATGGATAAGCAAAATGTGGTTTCATCGTACAATGGAAAATTATTCAGCATTAAAAAGGAAGGAAATTCTGAAACATGCTACAACATGGATAAACTTTGCAGACATTATGCTAAAAGAAAGAAGCCAGTCACAAAATAACAAATTATTGAATGGTCCCATTAAGTGAAGTATTTAGAGTCATGAAGACAGAATGGTATTTGCCAGGAGCTGAGAGAAGGCAGGGATGCTATTTTGTTTAATGAGTACAGTTTCATATCCTGAAGTATTATAAGATGAAAAAAAAATTCCTGTAAATAGTGGTGAAGAACACAAAAACAATGTGAATGGGGCTGGGGATTTAGCTCAATGGTTCTGCTGCCTGGCTTGCAAGCGCAAAGTCCTGAGTTCGATCCCCGGTACAGAAAAAAAAAAGGTGAATGTATTTTTTTTTTTTGGTACCGGGGATTGAACTTGGGTCCTTGTGCTTGCGCAGCAGGCAGTGAAACCACTGAGCTAAATCCCTGGCCCTAGGTGAATGTATTTAATACACTGAACTGTATACTTAAAAATGGTTAAGGTGGTAGATTTCATGTAATATGTATTTTCTCACAATTCAAAACAAGATAACCCTTTCAGGAAAAATAAGTTTTTTGGGGGCACATGAAATTCTCTCTGGCTTTTAGAAGCATAACTTAGTGGTTCCAGTAGAAGATGAGAACTTAAATTCCCAAGTTATATCTTCTGGTTGTACTCATCTCAGAAATGGGCCAAAGGAGGTTTATTTAACAGAGACAATGAGCCTGTCTGTAAAGTACTTTCATATCTTTGAATGAAAGGATCTAGAAACGTGCCCTGTGCTACTTTTAATGCTTCTTAATAAGAAATGATTGTATGCCTGTGTACATAAAAGAGCTCTAAATAAAGAAGTAGCTTTAGATGATTCTTGGCTCTGCCAGGAATGTTTTGGAAGCACATCTGAGCGAAGACTAAGTACACCTTGACATCACCAGGTTTTGGTTCCATTCCATAAGTTCCCACCCTCCTTTTGTGCAAATGCTCTGTGTATCCACTCCAGAGAACATACTTACAAAACAGTGCTGAGCTTTGTATCCATGTAGATCACGATCACCAAGCATTGTAAACACGGAACCTTTGTATTTTGCCTTTATATACCTTTGTCTCCAGGGTGCAGTGTCGGTTGATACAAGAAACATACAATACTTTGGAGACTTGCAATGAATAAAGGGTCCCAGGAAGCCATTCAGGAGGCAGCCTGGAGTGGATTTTTGATGGCATGTACTGAGCATGAACATGACCCACGTATTTTGTCCCTCACTGCTTTCCATACTCGGGTGACCTTGGGGATGTCACCTAGCCCTCTAGCTTCAGTGTCTTCGTCCTTAAACTGAACTAGTAATTCCTGCCTCACAGATTTGTCATGAAGAATTAGCTCCATGAGAACCCTGTCCCTGCCTCTCAGAAAAGTTTGAAAAATAGTAACTTTATTAAGGGTTAGGGTACTGCCCTTTTAGGTATGATTGCTACTGAAGTAGAAATGGGTCTTGGCTCATTGATCTCCCTGTTTATGTTTTTTGTAATTCTTGGTGGTTTCCTTTAAACCAAATTATTTATATAAGTATAAATAGTGAGGCAGCAAACCCAGACAGAACACACACTTAATAGAAGTTCTAGGATGAAGCCTGATAGAGAAATGGAATATTTTCCCCACAAGGAACAAAAGACGAGACCAGCACATTGCCTTCCTCCTGGCTTCCCCCCACCCTGGCTCATAGCACTTCCTGACTCCCTCTTAGTATACTTTTAATATTTTGCAGTCCCTCATGAAGCCCACAGCCATTGTCCCCAGCCTGTCCCCATTCCTTGCTGTTTGCTGTCTCCTGGGAGACAGGGCTGCTCCTCTCCCTCTCATTGCTCTGGGGTCTCTTGCAGCCCTGACAAGCTACCCAAGGGGTCATAATCCATCACCTTAGGGAAAGCCTCCCTGTTTTAGCTTCCTTCCCTGACACCTCTCACTTAATGGTGTAGTCTGTTCTTTTGTCACCTTCATTTGACAGAGCTGAAAACTGAAACTGAAGCAGGAGAGCAAGGCTTCAAGGCTAATTCAGGGAGGTTGTCAACAAGGGAGTTCCCGATCCTCCTGCACATGCTCCTGTAACTCATTGTGGCCCGTGGGATCTGGAGGAAGAGTTCTGTTTTGCTTCCTGATGCCCTGTGGGCCATGTGCACGCCCTTGCACACACACAAGCCCAGAAACAAAAATTGCCTAAACCATTGTTGCTTGCCACTCTGCACTCTGTTATTTTCTATTATATCCATTCTATTCTCATTCATATAAAAGACAAAATGATGATCATGAGCCACAAAATTGATTTCATGATCCATTGGTTGCACCTGCAGTCTGCAACACTGCCCTCTGTCCTGCCCCATGTGGCCAGCTCAGCACCAAGAAATGAATTTGGTTATACTGCTCTTTGCATAGAGCTCTGCAAGGTGGGTGGGTTGAGCCCCATGTCCCAGGTAGGAAACTGAGGCCTGTACAGATTTACAACTTACCTTGACACCAACAGCTAATAAGGAATAGAGGGCCAGGGATTTAACTCAGTAGTTCCGACACCTGTCTTGCAAGCGCAAGGTCCCGAGTACGATCCCTGGTACCAAAAAAAAAAAAAAAAGGAATAGAGCCAAAACTCAGGACTATCAGACTCTCAAAATTTTTTCTCAGTAAATATTTGTTGACAGCTGAATCATATCTCATCAGATTTGTATACATTTTTTTAATCCACCTCACTTATAAAGGATCCCCAAAAGTCATAAGCAAAGAGAATAAATAAGAGCAAAGTAAAGAGATACCTTCTCCTATGATTTTTGTCCTGCCTTGGCACAGTTCAGTACAGTAGTTTTGAAAGACTAAATTTTGGGGGAGTGTTCTTTTGCCTAACAAAACTTGTGACACTCAGCACTAAAGGAAAGTTGTTTTAGAAACAGGTTCACTTCTGTGTCGAAGGCTAAGGGTCAGATGTATGCCTTTCTGGAGCTCAGAGCCCTTTCTTTGACCAAGTTTTGGTGGACCCAGAGGCAGAGAAAGCCTGACATCAAGGTGGCTTGAAGGTTCCTAATCTGTAACTCAGAAATCATTCATCTCTCTTTCCTCCAAATGAATTTAGGACAGAGTTGCTTGCATCACAATACCCTGATGCAGGGCGCCCAGCATGGAGCAGTACAGCAGAAGGGAAGCTGAATGCTGTTTCTCTCAGTTGCAGGTATAGGTGAATCAAGCCCAAATCTTGTCCTCCCTGCCTGGAGAGGGGAGCTTCCCTGTCCCCTCTCTTCTGATGGTTCAGGGTCAGGGTCCTTGCCCCTCTTGAACCTTCCATTCCATGGTCAGTGTAGAGTTAGGGATTAAGGGCCTTTGGAGGAGCATGGGAGTCACTTTTGAAACAAACCCTGTGTCCTTAAGAAGGGATTCCTCCATGGGTGTTGAAAATTTCAGCAATAAATAAACGTGAAGGCACACTTCCTAAGTCACCTCCTTCAACAGACTGGGGACCTGAGACACGTTTTCATGCTCCTGACCTGGAGTGGTTAAATGCGCTCCTTGAAAAGAACCCCAGACTGAGACTGTCTTCAAGGTATAGCTTTCTTATCACAGCGCATCTGGAAAAATGGATTTCAAAACTCTTTTGGATGGATTCTTTACATCTAGTGCCCCTCTCCTTTTGCCACAAGGAAAATGTTTTTAGTTGAAGACTAATTCCGTGCAAATTCAACATTTATGATGGCACCCCGAGGGTTCGTGCACATCAACAGCTAAAAACCTTATCATGATTAAACATTCCTTTTTTATGTTGAATAAATTTTTTAAAAAATTTATATTAGAACAAAAGCCAGGTAGTTTTTAAGCAGTCCATTCTGCTGTTTTGGTATTTCTATCCCGAGTTTTGTTCAGTAAGTTGAAAAGGTTAACCAGAGCTGTGTCTCTTTAAGACTTCTTTTTGATAACCTGGTTTTCTTTTCTTTTTTCTTTTTCTCTTCTTTTCTTTTCTGAGAACAAAACTCAAAGAGAAAAAAAGGTAGGTATGCTGTTACTAGTAAAGAAATTCAACTGGATCCGGGCCTAATGCAGTCCGCCTTTGTTTCTACACACTGAGGTCTTCATTACAGCCCATGGAACTGCTCCCTGGAGCTGGTGACCTTTTTGTATTTAAAGAAGACTTTACACGACTTAAATTCTTTTTCCTTTGTTGGCGAACAATGTTCTTTTCTTCTGAAAATGGATGATGATCAGTTCATTCAGAGGCTACAGGATTGAAAAAAAAAAAAGGGAACCAAGATTTAAAGTGACTTCAGGTGACTCCCTCATTCTGGAGAGCAGGAGATGTGTCACCCTTAAAAAAGGTTCTTGGGACTTGAAAATAAACAGATATGGGAAGTAGCAGCAATAGCAACTGTTGAAGTATATTTTAGTGGAAGAAAGTTCCTGGTTTGGGACCAAAAAGATTAGGGTAAAGTGTTGTGCTTTGTCTTGCTAGTTGGTAACAGATTTGTCCTGTCCCAGTCAGTCGTCTTAAGTGACTGAAGGTCAGTGGGTAAGGTTTCTTCTCAAGATAATGGAGGCCTGTCTTCCAGTCAGTATGGACAAAAGGCCTAGTAAGTCTGTGGTTTTTAGTCTTGCTGCTGTCCTGAGGGATTATCAATTTACTGTCCTAAATGTTTTGATTCACAGTGGCCACTGTTGGGCCACCTGTCTAATATGAACTTATGATATTAATAATAGAGGAAACAATTAATTACTAAATATAGCCCAAAGGATTAAAAAAATGCTTAAACTTTAAACCATGATGAAAAACAGGTTTGAAACAAATCCTCAGTAGCATGGGAACTAGCACAACGAATCAACAAGTGGGATCTCATCTTATTAAAAAGCTGCACTGCAAGAGAAACCACTAACAGAACTAAGAGACAGCCTACAATGTGGGAAAAAATTTTTAGCAGCTGTTCCTCAGACAAAGGACTACTATCTAGAATATATAAAGAACTGAAAAAAATCAAATCCCCCAAATTCAAAGACCCAATTCAAAAATGGGCATCTGAAATGAACAGACATTTCTCAGACAAAGAAGTAAAAGCAGCAAATAAATATATGACAAAATGTTCAACATCACTGGTCATTTGAGAGATGCAGATGAAAACAACACTGAGATTCCACCTCACCCCAGAAAGAATGGCTGCTGTCAACAAATCAACCAATAACAAATGCTGGCGGGGATGTGGGGAGAAAGGAACCCTTCTCCATTGTTGGTGGTAGTGCAGACTGGTGCAACCACTGTGGAAATCAGTATGGAGATACCTCAAAGAACTAGGGCTAGAGGTCCCATTTGACCCAGCTATTCCCCTGCTGAGTGTCTTCCCAAAAGAATTAAAAGAATCATACCACAGTGATATATGTGCACCCATGTTTATAGCAGCACAGTTTGTAATAGATAAAGCTTGGAAACCGCCCAAGTGTCCATCAACTGGAAACTGGATAAAGAAGATGTGGTTTTTTTATAAAATGGAGTACTACTCAGCCATAAAGAATGAGAAACTAGAGTCATTTATAGCTAAGTGGATTTGAGGTCATACTCTTAAGTGAAATAAATAGGACACACGTGTAAATACCAAATAGTTTCTCTTGTGTGAAAAACTAAAGCTGTAAATATGGATCAAAATGTATAATTGATACTGTGAAATAGGAAGAAAAGGTCTAAAGGAGTAGGGGAAGTGGGAGGGGTAGGGGAAAGGAAAGAAGGGAAAAGAAAAAATAGGAGAAAAGGAAGAAATGGAAACAAAGTCTTTGTAAATATGGAAGGGTGGAGGGGGTGAAGGGAGGGCAGGGGAATGGGGAAAAAATAAGAACCAAGATACATCATGTAAAGATACAAGATCCCAATGATGAATGTAACTGTACTGTATACCTAAAATGTACCAATAAAGTTAATGGAAAAAAGAAAAAAGAAAAACAGGTTTGATACTAGTTTTCCATTTAAATTATTGCACTAAACAAGAGTATTTGTTTCCCTAACTGTACCATGCCAGCCAACTGTAGAGGTAAAAATACAACTCTTATTAAACAAGGTTTAAATATGTACCTTCAGAAAAAAAATACATTTAGCGTAATAAATTTTGTGTATATATTTACAAGAAGGTTGTATGTCCTCCCATAAATCCCCACACTGAAATATTCTGCCTGCAAACATTTTTACAACACTTATTTATAATATTAGTTTATTAACTTCATTGCATAAAGGTAGGTACTTTAAATAATAATATCTATCAGAAATGATAATTAATTTGACCCTTATCTAGTCCTGCAGTATGTGTCTACTATGAGCACTTTTATTACCTTTTGAAGATAATATAATGGTTTCTTGTTTGGCAAATTCATGAAAGTAGAATGAGTAGAAACCAAAATGAACACCGCACATAAAACATGTTGGCATAGTAAAACAGACATTGTGAACAAATTGCTTGCTGGTTTTAAAGAAAAATATAACTTCACTCAATGTTTTATTAAATCATTCTCATTCAACAAATTTTGATGAAATATAAGTTTATGAAATACAAGTTTAATGAAATAAATATTCAGCATGCCGTAACAAAGGAAAAAATGTTCTTCTTTACTAAATTTTTTCTTCTGATACTACTGAATAAACAAGAGTGATTGCCCAACATTTCTGTTTAAATTGACGGTATAGATTTATTAGTATATATTCATAATATATAATTACATTCATCTTGGGAAATTGGTGTGTATGCGTATCACATCTTTATCATTTAAATAAAGCTCTCGTTAGTTTTGTTTCTGAAGTTCAATTCAGTAGTCATTCTGAAAGATTGTATGACTGAGCAGTGGTTTTTTTGGTGCTTTTGAGGGATATTTGGTCACTTAACCAACTACTTAGTGCAAATATAATGCCCATTTTAGTGTCTTTAATTTTTGGATTTTGCTATATATTTTAATGGGAAGCCATTGGCCTTCTTCCATTTCTCCCGTACCAGTCTTAAGCTGGAGAATCTTCTGGACAGTGTCATTCTTCTTCATGGCTAGGAGTCATCCTCAGTCTTCTTCCTGGGCACCGGGAGCCCAGCCCCAAGGCCAGGCAAGAGTGGAGGCTGATGTTCCTTGAGCAGTTCTCCGGGACCTGAGGGAGCCACTGCTTCTTTTGTCCCCTCATCCGGGCTCTTTCACTGAAATAGCCAGTTGGGTTTTCTGCTGCCCTTGACCTTGCAGCCTAGGTTTCTAAAGCCTTGCAGAAGATAGCATTTTCATGGCCTCCAAAAGCTTTTGGGATTCTCTCTTGAAATCCAGATTATTTCAAGAGCAACTTAATTATGGGCTCCTCCTGAGGCACATGATTAGGAAGAGCTATTTAAATTAAGATAATTTTATTAGATGATATGCTTTGCAATGGGTTTCAAGTTACTTTACCCTTGTAGTTAATAATGAGGTTTGGTGAGACAGGCATCCCTGATGCACAGCCAAGATAATGTAGGGATTAGTTGGTGCAACATCAGAGGCGCTCTTCGTGACTAGAGGTGCCACTGGCCCCATTAATTTATGTCCCCTTTGGACAAAGGCCAGAAGGCCCCATTGCGGCATGTAGGGAGACTCCCAATCCCGGAAGACTGTTTTACCAATGAAGAAAATATTTAGCCATTTTTCTTTGAAACACAAACAAGTTATGCACGCTATTGGTATTGTCCAGTGTGACTATAGGATAGACAATTTCTATAGTTCTGTTAATGTAAAGTTGCATTTCATGTTTGTATAGATATTACCAAGAAAGTATTTTCTTTCCTTTTTTTAAAGAAGCCTTCCTTTTTTTCTTACTTCCTTATTAAGATGACATACTGCAGCAGTTTCTTTTGTGAGCATTCAGTGATGTGGAATAGATTTTGGAGCACAATTTCTACTATGGGAAAGTAATAGAAATCTTGTTTTGTAAACTTGCATCTGACTATACTGAATTTAGGGATTTTGGGGGGTAGTTTAATTCTATTCTGAGAGTTAGGATCTGAATATGATGGAGAGAGATTACAGTAATGACATTTATTCTTTTGGACATTTAGGAACCAGTTTTGTTCACTGGAACAATGAGGAAAAACCTGGATCCCTTTAATGAGCACACAGATGAGGAACTGTGGAATGCCTTAGAAGAGGTAAATTATATACTGTGATCACATGTACGTATATTTGCAGCTAACCGAAGGGACCTGATTGGTTTAACTCACTTTGTTTCCCACACAGGACATTGATGACATGGATGTACTAAATGTATATATTTGATGATTATGAAAACCAGAAATGAAATGTCTCATATTTTCATTTCACATGTCTCATAATCTAACAGCAGGATACATTATCTTACTTGTCCTTAGTGGAGCACTGTTAGAAGTTGTGTGCATGAGTTCAAATTCTCCCAGAGGCTAAGTACCCTGTAACATTGATTCTGCTGCTCTATTCTTAGGGAGCACCCAGGAAATGAATAGTTTCTTTTTTTTTTTGGTACCAGAGATCAAACTCAGGACCTTGTGTTTGCACGGCAGGCTTAGAGCCACTGAGCTAAATCCCCAGCCCATTAGTTTCTTACTATTCACTGAAAGATAACTGAGCTCATACTCGTAGAATCCTTTAAGTTTTATTTAAAAGTGCTTATAAAGGCAAATTATATAGTTAGAATGTGAACATGTCCTTTTAATGTTACAGAATGAATTCAGGTAACAGAACTCCAGAGCCTTTGCTGAGTTTTTAGACAGATACCTTTATTGCTGCAGGATTTTCTATTATTTGTGTAGTGTTTCTCTGTGGACCACTTGTTTGCATTTCCTAGCTCTCTCAGGACAAGAACTTTGACTGTTAAGATGCTGTTGGTTTATATATGCATTTCAACACTAAATATTTTGCATGTTCTCTAGTTCTGCAAATTAATTCTAAGCTACTTAGTGGCAGAAACCATAGCTTACACTTCTAATTCCTCATAGGACCTAGCTCATTCTTTTACTTGTAAAATGTAAGCGTTTTTTTCTACCACCTGCCTCAAAAGCACAAGGTCCTGAGTTTGATCCCTGGTACTCCCCCCGCAAAAGAAAGTAAGCATTTAATGAATATGTATTAAATGGTCGATCTTTTCATTTCCTAGAAATTTCTTTTAAAAAACACACATCTCAGTGATGGGTCCTTCGTCCTTGTTACTGTGGCTTTGGGTTGGTGCATTTGTCATTGTTGCCCCTTTCCAGGGTTAGCTCTGAAATCTTTAAAGATGGGTTCTGTGTGTAGCAAGCAGATTTGGAGGCCTGACAGCTTCCTGCCTATAATTCTTGTCTCTGAAGGCATGTCTGAGCCGAGTCTTCACACATCCACCCAGCTTTCCAGCAACCTGGGGGATTTCATTGCCCCAAATTGGGTCGCATACTTCATCATCTCCTACTTGAAAAGCAGTTGACCTCTGGGTTCATTCAAGACTGTGAGTCTTTCTCTGGTGAAGTTCTGGAAGGGAAGACGTGGGGAGAGCAGCTGCCTGTCAAAGATGGGAGAGACAGGAAGGGTGGTCCCCGCTGTGACCTCACTGGACAAACTTAACAGCGACAGTGAGGCATAACCTAAAAGAGCAAGAATTACTAGTAAATCTTTTTTCACTTGCTTCAGAGCTTGATGTTTCTCTTCACAGATTTTCACGTAGTAAAATTACTTTAGGAACACACTGTTACTCAGACGGTGAGGAAATGTTAATCAGGAGACAGTCCAATCCAGAGCCATCTGGTGGGAATTTACATGTATGTCATTTGTAGTGACCAAATTAAAATTAATAGCCTCTCAGAATTCTGAAAGTGAGATGGGAGAAGTAGTAGATCATCCTGAGGTATTCCTCTGTTTATACTTTGGAGCTCCCTGTAAACAGAAGTAGACACGAGGGCACTGAAAGGCCTGCCTTCTAACTGTGAGAGAGGTTTCCACGAATCATTTCTGGGATTGACCTCAATGCTTCAGAGATATTTCTTAGAAGTAAGAAATTACCCCATTGCCGTCTTTCTCTAAGAGTTCCTTGTGACATTATATACTTTTTTTTATGTGATTCCAGCTCTTCGTAATCATATACTTATTCGGAAATCTGTACCTAAGAAATTTTATCAAGAAACTATTCATATTTGTTTGGAGATTGTTAAAACAGTGAGGGAATTTTTTCTTCATTTTGCAGTTTTTTCTAGAGCACTTCTTTTATCATCTGGATAGAGGACAAATAGCTGAGTTCTCCTAGCATATGAAGCACTTCGAGTTTTTTTGCAGTGGTAATTATAGTTTCATGACCATAAGTTTATGGAACTTGGAGTCATTTGATGTCAAGAATCCTTTCCCTGGAGTCCTTGGAAGCTCAGGTCTTTTGAAGGTGGATTCACAACTGCACCTTGTTGGAATTGTAAGGCTAATGCTGTGTGTGTTTATCTGGGGATATACTAGCAAAGGATTCAGCACCCTGAATCTAGGACCACACATGTTCCTCTAGATTGCTGTATTATGTTCTGTCTGCTGTCTCCATGGTTTCTTCCTGTTACATGCAAACCAGAGCGGCCCAGCCCATTCTGGTCTTTAGTGGAGTCTTTGGTCACTCCTACTAAAATAGACTAAAATCTTGATTGGGAGAGTAGCTCAGTGATAGAGCAAGTACTTAAAATGTGCGCGACCCTAGGTACCATCGGCAGCACACGTACACAAAAGTGCCGTCAAATGAGTTGGTTTACGTGATGACAATTAGAAATGGGAACTCAAACCTACAGAGTCAGCTTGAGATCCCTTGGAAGCCCTGCTATATTTACCTCCTTAACAGTGTCAAGTTAGAAGAAAAAAATCCTCCCTTGGAGAGGGTAGATCCAGAGATGGAAAAGTAGGTTTGGCCTTCAGAAGGCATAGAGTTCTATGGATGTTGCCTGTTTGATTTTAGTTACTTTTTAAATAGGAATCTTTTTTTTTTTGGTACCAGGGTTCGATCTTGGGTCCTTGCGCTTTTGACGGCGAAACCACTGAGTTAAATCCCCGGCTTAGTTGCTTTTTCAATACACTGGAAGTTGCCACAAATACTGAAAAAATAGCCATGAACTGAAGAAATCTTATTAGTGTTAGTGCAACTTGGAGCATATCAGAAGTAATGGCAGCTCTATAAATATAACAGAAGTCATAACTATAGATGGAAGCCGTGTATCAAAAATGGTCAAGATCACAGTAAATAAAACTCTGAAAAGGAGTCAGCAGCACATTGCCTCTGTTGTAAAACAGCTTTACCGCTGGGATATACAGTTAGGAGTAGGGTACGTCAGGTCAGGACATCCTCCGGCGATGGTCCCCATTGGTAGTATCTCTACTAGAGTACGAGAATGTCTCGTGACACAGGAAGCCAACACCGTCCGCATCACATTGGGAACGCTTCATTCAGCCCTGGCTCCCGCTGTACCTTGCAGTTCCATTGCCCCCAGGCCATAGATTTCAGGGAATGAGCTCCCCTTTTACCCCTTTAACTGCCATCTTGTTCTGGTAAGAGCTCATCTTCATCTGTGGATTGCATTTGAGGCTGTCTGTTCATCCCACCCAGCCTGCTTTTGCCTTCCCTGTTATGAAGTCAGAAAGCAGAAGCAGAGTCTGTGTTGCTGGTAATCTGCTCCGAGGGTCACCGTCCCCTGGTAGATACAGGGTGCACCGTGGGTGACTTGGAAAATGTTTAGGATGACGGTGTGGGGATGTCTTACAAGTTCAGTGTATTTTTAGTTTTGCTGTACTTTATTGTTTTCCCAAGCTCAAAAATAATGGGACATGACCTATCCTGAGGTATACTTTAGAGTACTATTATTGGATCCATCTTTCTGAAATCATAACAATTTCTTGTGTGTGTGGTGCTAGGGATTGAACCCAAGACCTTGGTACTGAGCTACATCTCTAGCCCCTGTTAGTTTTTAAATTTCCCAGACTGGGCTCAGACTTGAGACCCTCCCATCTCAGCCTCTCAGAGTGCTGGGATTACAGGTGTGCCACTTGAAATTATAGCTTTTAAAAATGCTTTTCACATTTCAAAGCATAGCTACTATGCTATTCTGAGGCCAATGAACCTTTATAAGGAATATATTTCTTCTGTAATGAAATGTATAAGAAAATGGTATGTACCCATACGGATATATTTTCTAAGTTATAGGAAGAAACATTTCATGAAATGAGATGTGCTTGTGGCTTCATTCATATGTTCAGCAAATATTTATTGATAGCTTGTTGCATAGGTGTTGTAGATTCTGAGACAGGGTCCCCGTCTTGGAGCCTTAATTCTTGTGGAGAAGATAGAAAATAAGCAAATACATGTGGGAATACACTTAGGTACTAATAAATGCAATGAAGGAAGATAAAGCAGAACATGAAGTGAGCTGGCTGGCAGCATTGTTAGTAATAGGCAATATCTATTGATCTCTTCCCTTGTAGCAGGAACTGTTCTGAACACACATACTGACTTACTTTATACTCCAACAGCATTCAGAGATAGAGATCTTGATTATGATAATATTATGTCTCATTATAGCTTAGCAAGCTAAGAGAAAGTTCAGGAAGTTGCCCTATTGGCAAATCTAGGCAGGACTGAAGTCTGGCTGTCTGGCTTCAAAATGGCCCAATACTTTTGTTTTAAAATTTTGAAGCTGGGTATGGTGGTGCACAGGAGGATCCCTGAGAGCTCCAGGCCAGCCTGAGCTACGTAGTGAGTTCAAGGCCAGCCTAAACTACATAGTGAGACCCTCTCTCAAAAAATGAAAAGAATTTTCTTTTCAAATCACAAAACAGTTAATGAAAGCACATACCCTTCACCTTAGTTCTTCAGCTGTTAATATCGTATCCCATCTGCCTCCTGTCTTGTACAGTCTATATTTTGCTGAACCATTTGGTGGTTAACAATAATTATTTCACTCAAGAAGTTTAATAGTACGGCAGTACCATTATCACATGTTTTCCTGTTCCTCTATCTTCTTCCACCTCTCTTGTGCTTTCCTAATACTGCATCGTACCTAGCGCATAGGATAGCACTTCAGAGGACCTTCACATTGGTATCATTCTCATAGCCTCTCGGATTCATTAATGAAGACAGAGAGGCTCAGAACTGTTTTCTGGAAGACAGGTCCCATGTTCTCACCTCGAAACCCTTATGCCTCTTCAAGTAGATATGGACAACCTGAAGGAAAGTCAAAACCCAGATAAGTGATACGCTGTCACCTTAGTCAGGGAAAACTGTAAGATTATTTTTTCAGTCATGAGAAAAACTCATTGAAGATCTAGAGTTCGAGCCCAGCCAGGGTAACTTAGCAAGATCCAGTCTCAGTATTAAAAATTAAAACAAAAAAGGTCTGGGAGTATAGCTTAATGTGAAGGCCCTGGGTTCAATACCCAGTACCACAAACAAAACAAAACAAAACAAAAACAACCCTGCACTCACCAGTACTACTGAAGTCCATTCGGGGGAAAAATCCTGCTGCCATCAACTGGGCCCCAGGTGCAGATCTGTGTGTCAATCTCCATGCAGCAGTAATTGGGAAGTCCTCTCCCTTATAATGGAGGGCTTGACCAAGCTGACATCCTCTGTGGTTTTCTGTGCAGGGTCTTGGACCATGATCCAAATGGTAAACTTCAGGTTTCGTACATTTTCCTATCTTTCATGTTAACACCAAGTACCAATACCATATTTAATCTCAAGTCAGAATTCCCAATTCTTAGAGTTGGGCTTCCATCATGAGCACAATTCAAGGACTTGTCATAGAAATGCCTTGGCATGTAGGGTAACATGGAAATGTTGCCCGTTTTACCCCTGGCTTTTTGTTGTTTGATGCTGTAATTCTACGTACCTGCTTGGACTCATCAGTCTATTGATCTTTTAATGTGAGGTATATTGACTCTTTGTTCTTCTGTATCTCTCAAAGATAGCCCATGTTTGGCTCTTGTTCTATAAAAGTTCTTCAAAACAAAATATTTACTGAGCTGAACCACCATCCACTATAGACACACATCATTTTATAACTATAATTTTACAAGAACAGATTAATATAAATACTCCATAGTCTGAGGCAAGATGTTGTATTTTGTTTTGTTTTCCATGATTTTTCTTCACTGCAGTGCATTTATGAGAGTGAGGTAAGTACACATGATGTGACAGTTTTAGCAATATGGGATTAAACTTGGGAAAGAACCACCCCAAAATAGGATCTAGATTTCCCAGCATACAAGAAGGTACTATTTCCCATGTTTGAAATATTTTTAAACTTTTCCAGTTGATTAAAATCTTCCAGAATGGTAAAGTACCTGTTACTTATTTAGAGAGAGATACATCTTACATTAATTTTGTGTTTTAGTCTTTCCTTTAGTGTACTAACTCCAATGCCAGTTGTCTTTTGGGAAACTTGATTCAACTGTAGGATCCTTTTACCTTGTCTATAGAGATGTTTTGTACACTGGGAGAACGAGTTTATTTCTGAGGGATTCCTGGCGCCGGGGTGAGGGGGCTCTTGGTGGATGTCACATGGTGGACGGGCTTTCCGGTGATGGGGGCTCTGAGATGACTTATGTTCATGAACTTTAGTGAGGTAAAAGTTCATACCAGAAAATGCTCCCCTTTTGAGTGTGATTTGGTGATTTTAGTAAGCTTGTAGAATTGTACAACCATCATAACAGTCTAGTTTGGGAATATTTCACCCCAAAAGTTCCCTCTTGCCCATTCATGGTTAATCGAGCCTTTACCCAACCACCATTCTGGTTTTTGTCTCTATGAATTCCTACAGTTACCTTTTAGCTAAAAATTAAGAAGGGGAATTTTCTACTTTGGTATATTTATCCAAAGAATAATTTTATTTAGCACACTGTATATTTTTTAAGGAAATTTGCACCAGCACTGTTAACTCATGAGCCAGCAAGACAGCACTTATAGAGATGGTGACAGAGGAGCACCTTGGGTCCCATTAAGGTTGTTCACTTAAATCAGATTCTGTTTCGAGTCTCCCATCTCTCTAATAAACACTAACTGAAACTAACTCTTGCCGTCACGAGGTGGCACGAGTAAGACAAACCTTCAGGGAGAAAGGACTTCAAAGTTCGTTGAAGAGGCCTGTCTGCTTCACTGGAAAATGCCATTCTTTATATACATCTACAGGTACAGCTTAAAGAAGCCATTGAAGATCTTCCTGGTAAAATGGACACTGAATTAGCAGAATCAGGATCCAATTTTAGTGTCGGACAGCGACAGTTGGTGTGCCTTGCCAGGGCAATTCTGAAGAAAAACCGCATATTGATTATTGACGAGGCGACAGCAAATGTTGACCCAAGGTACAGAACTGAAATCCGTGTAACACTGAATATGAATTTTAAATTTTAAATTTAAATCATTAAAAATATTTACAGAGTTACCTTCAGGGTCTGCGTATCCTGGTATTATATGCAAATATTCTAAAATCCAGAATCTGAAAATCATCTAGTCCCAAGCATTTCAAAAAAGGAATAGTCAACTTGTGTTTTAGGCATCCTGAGAAAGATTCCTAAATTCCGCTTCCAGTAGTTTCCAAGGAGGAAATTTGGGAGGGGGGAAATATTTCCCATTGTTTTATGAAAAACAGTAAAATTCCTAAAGTTGACTTTCTGTAATTTTTAATGTGATCTTGTCTTGAAATATTGATTTTTAAAACATTAAAATATCATATGATCTTTGAAGCTCCATTTTTTGAGACAAGGTCTCACTACATAGTTCAGGCTGGCCTTGAACTCAGTACATAACCCAGGCTGGCCTTGAACTCACTGTGATCCTCCTGCCTCTGCCTCCCAAGTGCTGGGACTATAGGCATGCCACGCCTGGCTGATCTTTGATGTTTTAAGTTTACTTTTTCCATCTTTCTGAATTAAATTTGACTTGTTTGATTCCAGAACTGATGAGTTAATACAAAAAAAAATCCGAGAGAAGTTTGCCCACTGCACTGTGCTGACCATCGCACACAGACTGAACACCATCATCGACAGTGACAAGATCATGGTGAGGCGTCCCCTGTGGAAGTCTGGTGGCTTGCATTTATGTTGTGTTTCACAATTTAGCCCTTCTTATAAAAGTTGATAGAAACCCCCAATAAATTAATTTGCTGTCAATTTTTCCTCTTATCCCCAACAATAATTCACGAACTGAAATAGACATTCAGTGCTATAAACGTATTTAATACATCTCTCTGCCTGATTTTGTACTAAAAGTTTATTTGAATTGCCATTTTTCTTTAAGATGGCCAACTAATGAAATGTCCCAAATCTAGGATCTGTACCTTGAGACACTAAGCTTCATACCATAGAGGGGTAGGGTGGTGTCATTTTCTCTGTGTCACAGTTTTTTCAGCTTTTTGATAAAAAAAATTATCTTCTTGATTGAACTCTTGGGAGGTCATTGGGTAAAGCTGAAGAATCTCTAAGCTGTTTGGGACCTTGATACGCTGTGAGGGGAAGTGTGAAAAATCCAAACAGAACCTTTTCAAGAAGGGTCTCATCAACTCTTGTGCATCGTTGGTGGGAATGTAAATTAACACAACCAGTATGGACATTCTTCAGAAAGCTAAAACTAGAACTACCATGTGATCCAGGTATTCTACTTTGGGGTCTTCCAAAGGAACTGATATCAGTATATCATAGGGCTGCCTGTAACTCTGTGTTCTCTGAAGAATTATTCACAATAGTCAAGATATGGAATCAGTCTGAGTTTCCCTCAGTGGATGAGTACATAAAGAAAATGAGGTATATATGCACAATGGAATACTATTCAGCCTTAAAACAGAAGGAAATTCTGTCTTTGGCAACAGTGTTGCTGTTCTTGGAGGACATTATGTTAAATGAAATCACCAGGCACGGAAAGACAATCAGAGGCTGGAGGTATGCCATATGGAGATGTTGGACAAAGGCTACAAACTTTCAGTTAGACAGGAGGAATAAGTTTTGAAATCTTTTGCCCAGCAGGAAAACTATAATCAATCCTAATATATTGCACACTTCAAAATAACTGAGGGTAAATTTCAAAAGTCTCACCACAAAAAAAATTATATAAGTGAGGTTACGGTTATGTTAATTAGCTTGACTTAACCTTCTACATTGTATGCATATCATACAGCACTTTGTACTCCATAAGTGCAATACAATAGTAATGATTTGTCAGTAAAAAATACTATTTTAAAATAAAACACCCCAGTCAGAAAAACAAATGGTTTCAACAGAGAGGATTTGATGTAGGAAACTTGGTACATAAGAATCAGAAGGTTGGGAGCCTGAGGGGAAGAAACAGTGATAATTTTACAAGCAGCGGAAACAGATCATAGTAGAAGCTCAGAGGAGGGACCCTAGAGCACTGGTGTTTATCCCTCCAAGGAGGACCTGCTGTCCAGCTACTGGCTGTGTTAGTAAGAGAGTCCATGAGGCTGGCTCCAGGCTTGCTCATAGATGATAGAGATTGAGCACATGAGTGGTGCTGATAGGAGTAGCAGCAGCCAAGAAAACAAGACCTTTTTGGACTATGTACAACCTTCAGTCTTTGTCTAGTGCCCTCTACTGGCAGTACTTGGCGGAGGCCACTGGCTAAAGAGCCTGTGAACTGACTGCCCTAGTGGAAGGTCAAATGTAGAAAGGTTGATCTGGGGCTGAGAGTCTATAGATTATAATCAGTGAGTCTCCTATTGGCAGACCTGGAGGCTGCACATATGCCAGGGTCCAAGCAGTGGTCTCTGATTATTTGTCTACTGACTTCTTTCTGGAAGTAGGGCAACTGGACTGTGGTGGGTTAAACGTGGTTATGAGGAAATAGGGAGGAGTTGGTTCTGGTTTCTAGGGTCAGGGCCTGAGCATCTGGATGAATGGAGAAGACCTGGGGAGAAGTTGATGTAGAGAAAAGCGTTAGCCTTGAGCATGTGACTGCTGAGATGTCCTTGAATTTCTCCATGGACCTGCCTCTTGCATTCCCAACTCCAATGTTGGAAGATCTTCAGTTTAGAATTCCTTGTCCACAAGGTTGTCAGTGATATCATAGGTTGTACCAGGAGTTGTGGACATGTTTAGTTGACTAGTTTCTCTTGCTGACTTATTTCATGCAGAGTGGCAGGAGCTGACCTCAGGGCATCCAGCAGGCCTGCATTCTTTAGCTTCAGATATAGACAGTGGCCCCTGTGTCCTCTCCGCCCCAGGAGGAAATCTGTCATATTGGAGAGCTTCGGGATGTTAGCTGGCTTTGAATTCAGAGAAACACCAGTGTGTTTGTCAGCCTTCTGTTGTGATAACAAGACTCTTGAGATAGTCAACTTATAAACAAAAAAGTTCATTTTGGCTCACAATTTTGCGGGTTTCAGTCCGTAGTCATTTGGTCAGTCACTTTTGCTTTGAGCCTGTACTGAGGCAGCCCGTGATGGTGGGAGTGCGTGACATAGCAAAACTTCTCACCTTGTGGCCAGGGGGCAAAAGAGAGCAAGGAGGGGGCCAGACTCCCACCATCTCCTTCAGGGTCACAGCTGCTGACCTAAAGACCTCTCTCTGGGCCCCTCCTCTTAAGTGTCATCCATCCACCAAGAGCACCACCGGAGTACCAAGCCTTTAAGACACTCCTGGGTCTTTGGAGGACATGCATGATCCAAACTGTAGCAGCCAGTAATGTTCTTTCTCAAACCCTTGATTTTTGAAACAATTATTTTTCTCATTTGCTTAAGAAACACCTATTCCCTTTCCAAAAATCAAGTGATTTTCTTTCTGTTGTTCTGAAAGCGTTGAGGACACAAAGCCAAGTCAATCAGCTGCAAAGCCTGATGCTCCAGAGGGCCTCGGCCAGCCGCAGGGAGTGGTGAGGGAAGTGACAGATGCTCATGAAGGGAATACCCAGCACTGTCATCATAAATTGTGTGACTGCAAGTGCCTAAGGTGTAATAATTACATTTTGTTGCACTGGTGAATACTTCTCCACAAAGACAGATGGATATGGTCTTGTTTACTATAAGTAAATCAGACAAAAGGCTTGTTGAGAAACAACTGTGACCTAATTAATAGCTTTGTTTATGTGTTGGCTCTCCAAAGGGATTTACTCAGTTTTGGTTCATTAGGCGCCATTAATGTGTTAGGCTTAGAATTCTATTTTATAAAGACGTTCTCTCAATTTTAACTTTATTAAACATGGTGTTGTTGTTTTGACAGCTAATTTAATCTTCCTCATTTGCTCAGTTGCTACAAAACAATGGAGCAAGACAGACACATTAGAAAGTCTCTTTCCCCTAATACTCAACTCTAGCTCTATACCGAAGAAAGCCTCTTCTCTGTAGTTTTCAGGATTAGCTGATCACTTGAGATCTTTTTTTTTTTTTTTTCATCCAATAGCATAGCTTTTCTCTCTAGTCCCTGTACACCCCAGATCTCTGGATTCTCCCAGCTTTTACCGTAGCCTGTACTCTGTGTCATCATTGTTGGCAATCAAGGAATTCTTGGGGAGTGAATTATGGACAAACAAAACCGAAGTTTAGGAACTCAGATCGTAGGCCTGGGGATGTAGCTCAGTGGTACAGCACTTGTGTGGCTGACACCAGGCCAAGGAAAGGAAGCTGAGAAGCGGGTTGGCTGGTTGGTTGTATCTCCCTGCTCATAGACCATCTTACAATCTTTACCTCTCTGAACTCAAATCTCCTTAGTCATTTTCCAGACAAAACAAACCTAGTAACTATAGTAACATACCCAGCTGGTAAAGTATAACAGCACAAAGCTAATTCAAGTTTTATTTTAATTCTATTCTTCACCTTCATGGAACTTTTATTTGATAAGCCTACATGACCATAGTCAGAACATTTCAGAAGAAAAAAATGCTCTTTCAAAAATATGCTGAGAGATTGAAGTGTTTAGGTGGAAAAATCACTATCAAGGTAGAAAATACAAATTCTGAGAGAAAAAATTTGAGTGAGGGGTACACGGGACAGCAGAAGCTTGGAGGAATGACAGGTAGGTCACCATGACCTCATGGCCACCTCCCCCGGTAAGCATCGTTTACTTATTTAAAAAATAGGGAAAAGAGTTAGAGTGACATTTGTCACATGTCACAGAGACGAGTCACATGTGCCCTTGTGCAATGAGGAAGCCAACCTCCAACGCTGGATACTGTTCATTTGCCCCTTGGTCACTGGCAGCCCAGAGCAGATCTCTACAGCTCTGTCATTCCTTCCCTACTCTGCCCCTGAATGGGGTCCCCTTCCTTGCCTGTTGCCAAATTGAAAGCCTTTCTGTTTCTTTCCCCTTGTGACAGCCCAATACCATGATGGCATCTTGGCCATCAAAGAGGATTAAATCATTTGGCAATGAGTCCATCTAATTTTTATATCTAGGACAGCTACTGGGCTCTGCAGATTTGCAGGCCTGATAACCACATCTTCACTGAGCTTATGTAACTGACTGACTCACTCTATATAATGTATTTTTCCTTAACCTACTAGAGAGCAGTGAGCAGTTTGAGGTTGGCATTCCTGGAGAGATCCTGGGGCCAAGGGATGCTGAGGGATGGCTGGCGCATCAATGTCAGTGTGCCATGGGGTTTACAGTTTACTTGGGTACAGGAAGGGTAGGGACCAGCAGATTTCAGGAGCCTTTTCTTATAGATAAAAAGGATATTAAGGTTTTTTAATGAAAATTTTGCTTTTCTGCACAGAATGAAAATTCAGAGTTTCTTGCATTTATTCTAAAAGATCTATCAGCCTCTGATGAAATCAGTAAATAGAAAGGCTAAGTGGGTAACATTCTATTCCTGGCATTGCATCCCAACTTGAGTTTTTACACCGACTGACTGTCCCTCATCGCTCCTTTTCCGATATTTAATGGAAATCACTTTCCAGCCCTCACATCTATTCTGTCTGTTCCTTCCTGTCCTCCCTTCTTGCCCATAGCCATCAAGCCTGTAATGTGTGCATCCCCTGCTGTGTCTCATCCCAGTGTCAGCTGGTTCTTCCCAGTCTGCGCACCCTTAGATAGCCACCTAATCGTGCTCCGCATTTCATTTCATGTGCTTTTGTCTGTCACTCCCTATACATCCAGTGCCTGGTACTTGACACATACAATGCTGGGCCCTGGCGATGCAACAGTGAACCAGAGAGACTGTGCACACTGCTTCTTGCCATTGAGGATGTGACAGAAGGGGAGAGGTGTACTTCCAGACCCCTAGCCCACATTTTTGTGTCTGAGTGACTGCTGTCCTCCTACTCCTCCCATTTTTGCGTGTGCAGGTCTGTTTAGCTTTCCAGCCCAGTTTGCTCTTCCCTCTTCTGAGGCTCTTCCTCAGAACCTCTGGCCTGGGTGACATCTTTGCTGCTTAAACTCCTGCTTGTCTTGCTTTTTTTCTTGCATTAGAGTCACATAAGTATTTTTGCCCCTCTTTGAGTATAGACACCGTAAAGGCAGGGCTGGGACTTACCTCTCTGCCTCTTCCACAGCATCTCGCATAGCGACACAAACGTAGTACGTGTGTATTAAGTGTGTGCCAGAGAAATTCAGGAATTAATGAAAGATCACTGAAGTCTTCCTCTCATGTATTTTGGCCTTGTGTTACTTGCTCTTCATTAATCCTGAGAGTTTAAGAAAGTTGGCTTTCTTCTCCTGTGACTGTACACCAGGCACACATGAGTAATTTGAGTCGTGAGTGTAATGAAATTGTGCTGGAAAGCCGGGAGCAGTGGCAACACCTGTAATCCGAGCTACTCGGGAGGCTGAGGTAGGAGGGTCACAAGTTGAAGACCAGCCTAGGAGATTTAGCAAGATCCTGTCTCAAAATAAAATAGAAATGGTTGGGGGTATAGTTTAGTGGTAGAGCACTAGCATGTGTGAGGCTCTTAAGTTCAATCCCCTGTGTTGCAAAAATATAAAATAAATGAAATTGCCTTGACAAGTGTACAGAGGACAGATTTATGTTTACAGGCATATTTTCTTAAATTAAAAAAATTAATATCCAAATGAAAAGATATTTTAGAAAATTAAATATTTTAAATTTTCTTAATGTTATTTTACTTCTGCCAGCCAGTTTGCTAACAGTGTCTTAGGGTTCACATGGAGGAGAAAAGAGGTTCAGACCTGAGCTCGAGGGCCAGTTCTGCCACCTGCATGTGTGGCCAGGGACAAGTTGTCCATTTGGATGGACAGATAGAAAGAAGGAAAGGAATGATTTCTCTTCTTTATCTAATCTATTTGGAGAGTTAACAGCAATGACTTTAAATTCAGTGACTGTTCAACTCGGGCATTTTTATTTTCCTTTTCAAGTTCAAAAGCTGCTGTTTTTTTCCCTTCACCTTATTGTAACCCCATTCTTTGCTACTTTGTATTTACGTCTAGGGCATCCCCTTGCTCAAGCCTAACTTAGCATCTGTTTAGGGTATAGTCACTTGGTTCATTTTAAGACACCGTTTCGTTTGCTTGTTTGTTTTGTTGGAATGCTAAGGATCAAACTGAGCCACACCTCCATCCCTTTATTTTGTTTTAGTTTCTATCAAATAGTACTAAAGAAGCTGGTTTAATTTTACATTTTCGAAGTGTTACCTTACAAAAGTTAAAATTCAAGGTCTAGGGCTGGGGGTTTAGGACAGTGGTAAAACATGCTTAGCATGTACAGATGCCCTGGATTTAATCTCTTGCACATACACACACACTCTACACACATGCTCCAATAAATTATCGAGCCTTATGACAAAGTACCACAAGCATTATAACAAATTATCTGTCACCCCCCAAATTTAGAACTTCCAACAAAAGTGTACAATCATTAAATTATTGATACTTACAAGGCACAAACTATCTTGGCCAAAATGATCTGTCACTTCAATTGTTGATCCTCTTGCTCGGGCTGTGTCTTTTTAAGATCATGATCGGTTCTGAGAACTCCTGCAATAAGTGGCATTTGTCTGTTTTCAGACTCTACGAGAAAGTAGAAAGATTTGCCATTGTCTGAGTTTGAATAAGGTGGACAGAGACAAAATAGTAGAAGTACCTTCTTCCCATTAAAATTATGTGTGGTTTTTATAGTCGGAGTCCTCACCCTCCACCACCTCCAAAGTGGCGATTTTTTCAAGTTTCCTTATTGCTTTTGCAGAATAGAAGGCTCATCATTTTGTAAAGTAATTTGATGCATTTATTTACTTAGGCTTTAGTATGGAAGAGACCTGTATTTTAAAGTTGCATTTTTTTTCCTTCTTCCACGTCAGGAGGATTGGTTGTGCACTGTAATGCTATGCTTAAGTAAAATTATACATTCGGGGCATCTAAATTGGCATGCCAAATTATAGGACACTTTAATTATTATGTGGATGTGACAGATTCAGTTATTCCTGAACTCCTTTGAGAAAGCTGCCCTTAGCAGTGATTCACAGTAGTAAACAAAAGATTAACAGGAAAATGCCCTTTATGAGACTTAATAAATGTTTCCGATTAAATACCATGGGCCAGAATTAACTGCACTATCTCGATGTGGAAAAACAACCTGTGTCCTGCTTAGAGTTGCAGCATATTCTTTTAAGATGAATTTATTCTAAAAACAGCCCAAATGAAGAACTAAGTACCACTTAACATCAGAACAGCTTTCCTAGGTACGTCATTTGGGCCAATTGTCTCAGACTCTTTCTTCTCTCTGAAGCCATTAAGCAAAGCCACTAATAAGTAGAAATGCAGAGTTAAGAGGCCCTTCCTCTCCCTTTCAATTTCCAGTGGACATATTAATGAGCAATAAAACGGCTAAAAGGCAGGCAGCTAAAGAAAGAGAGAGAAGGAGGCAAGGAAAGGTAATTGTGAAAACAGATATTCAGGCCCTTAGCAGTGGGGATTGGGCTGCCCCTGTATGCTATGAGGGCCATGATCACTGAAATTGGGAGTTTAGTTTCTTAATTGCCTCTTTAGTCTTATCCAAAGAGAAAATTGGATTTCTAGAGATTTCTTCTGTGTACAGCAATTATGCTAAAGCTGCTTAGGTAGCGGCTCTCTTGGCCAGTGTTTCACTCCCAGAATAATAAAGGACAACCAGAGGCAATGCCAGGACGCATCCGAACTTCGCCAGCAGGCGCTGAGCCCCTTTTCCCAGACAACACTGGGGACCCTACTTTTGCTCAGATTCTGTCAGGCCAGATGGCGAATTCATTTGCTGTCATGTCGCTGTCATTTGGTTTGTCTGACGTCATTCTACGTTTTTAGTAAATTAAGTTTGATTTTCTTGAATCAAGGTTTCCCAGCTCTGAATGCACGTGTAAATACCCTGCAAAGCTCTGAGTCTGAGAGCTTTAAAAGCACTAATAACAACTACCTCAGATGCCCTTGGCAAAATATAAAATGCCACAGGACTGCTGAGTGTCCATAATAATAGCCTAGAATTTTCATTTTCTTCCTTCCCTATAACATTATAATAATAAAAGGTCAGGTTGGGCCTTTGTTTGCTTCGAAAAACAGGGTAATCAAACCATTTAAATACCCTCTAGGCCTACCACCCAAATAGCATCTCTGTATTCTCCCTCTCTTGCCCCTTTCCGAAATATTGTCTGAGTTATAATATGTTGCTGCAAAACATTGTGTTTCAATGGGCTTCTTTCTGCTGATTACCAGGTTTTGGATTCAGGAAGACTGAAAGAATATGATGAGCCATATATTTTGCTGCAGAATAAAGAGAGCCTATTTTACAAGATGGTACAGCAGCTGGGCAAGGGGGAAGCCGCTGCCCTCACCGAAATAGCAAAACAGGTGAGCACGCGCCAAGGAGCTGTAATTAAAGTTTGTCTCACTTGTTCACTCCTCACAATTTGGCACCTTGGGTCTGGAAACAAGCACTTTGTGCCCTTTTGAATTACAAGCCTTCAGAGACAAAGCTTCAGCATGTCCCGAGTTGAAGTCAGGTCTGCGAGGACTTGGCAGAAGCAAGTGGGAGGAGAAAGGTGTACACGCGTGGACACACACACAAACACACACACTCACACACGCACGCTCAAGCTGGTGCGCCTCACTGGGAGACTGGTTTTAGACTGGACTTTACCCGTTTAGACTCTGCGGGGTTCAGATTCTCATACAAGAGTGGACTCCTTATGCAGCCCTCCTTGCTTTTCCTCCTCTTGATGCTTAGCATATTTGAGATGCGAGCAAACACTATCAGCGTGCAGCCAGGAGATCTGAGAGTTTGAGGAGAAAATATGGAATTCTGTGTATTTATTCTAGAAAGATCTACCAGGGAAGCATATAGACTGCTCTCATTCTTCATTTTATAATTTGTGAAGAAAACTCCTACTGTCATTTTCTTCCTAGCTTTCTCCCTCAACCTTTGTTGTTCAGGATTAAATTCAGAGAGCCCTTTTGTATTTCCTCGACCTTCTAGAAGATAGAATTGTCATCAGGACAAACCAAGACTGTATCATACCTTGAAGCTCTCGTCTAAATAGTGCTTGAAGGTTTACAAAGCATTTGAAGACATTCAGGTCCCACGATACCTTTCCACCATAGGGATGCAGGATTATCTCCTTCTGTAGATGGGATAACTGCAGTTTGGTTTAAGGGACTCAGCCAGTATCATGCAGCCACTCATAATTCTTTCTCCTGCTTTTGTATGGTGGGTCTAATAATTGTTAGCTTGTGTGGAGGGAAGAAAGCCAGGTGTTCTTCACCATGGTGTGCACGGCTTCAGGTGGAATGAGCTCCCACCTATACACGGTGAGGCTCCCATTGTAGGTACTTATCTCTAGACACTGTGCTGTGGGTGTGCATTTCTTTCTTCATTGTTTCCTGTATTTCCCAGATTTTCAGCACCACAGGTAGAATAAAAACTGCTTGTTTTTGTGTACTATTTTAAATCTGTATAGAAAAACACAGAGTAAAAAACCACATTCCAGTATCTAATGGTTCTGTGTGAACAGTTTATTCAAAATCTAGCCTAGATTCTCCTCTGTCACTGTTTCATCTCATTCCTTTTTAGAAACTCAGTATTTCTTTGAATCCTGTTTCCATCTTCAGAACTGTGCAATACCTGCAATACAAAGTATTGTGCTGGGTCCTAACAAACATGTTAAGTGTGCCCTTAATCATTGACTACATAAACCAGAGAGAAGAGCAGAGATACTTGGTTCATATGTGGAGCCATGGTGATGATGATGATGATTAGACTTTGCCACTTACTGGATGTCATGCACTGTGCTATGATATAGGTCCTCTTATCATTATGCCTGTTCCAAGGACCAGAGCTTAGAGAGGGAAGGAAATTTCCCAGGGCCACATAACTAGTGAATAATTGGTAGAGTTCGGGCTCAGACCTGGGCTTAGAGGTGATAGTGTCCATGCTCTGACCTTCTCATGGGGACTTACACCATATGCACAAGGGGGAAGCTGGAGTTGGAGCACTGTATTTTCATTTGCCAGAGTGTCTCCAAGTCCAGGCTTCCCTTAAAAGTCCCGGTCAGTCATTGGGATTCCCTGTACAATCACAAAACAGCCAGGAGCTACCTAACTTTTTGTTTCTTTAACACCTTGGGTATTTCAAATCAAAAAGATGTATCTGCTCACTCCACAACCTATGCGTCAGGATTCCCCTCCCTTTCTATGCCCTGGTGAGAATTGAACCCAGGGCCTTGTGCATGCTAGGCAAGTGCTCTACCACTGAGCCACATCCCCATCCCCACAAAGTCCCCCTTTTAAAAATGTTGTTATGGGGCCAGGGATTTAGCTCAGTGGTTCGACTGCTGCCTTGCAAGCACAAGGTCCCGAGTTTGATCCCTGGTACCAAAAAAAAAAATGTTGTTATGGGCTGTGTATATAGACCAGGGGTACAGTACTTGCTTGGCATCTGAGAAACTCTGGGTTTGATCCTTAGCTGAATGCACATGCGAGCACATGGCACACACACACACACACACACACGCATGTGTTATCATTATATTATCAAGGTGTTGAATAATGAGTGGTAAATCACAGAAATTTGGGTGGATCTAGATCACATACACTAATACAGTTCAACATTCTTTTTTTAAAGATGAAGAAACTAAGGCCCCAAGGAGTAAGTGGCCCAGAGTTATCCTAGTTTGTTGTAGAGACAGAACTAGAAATCTTTTCTTTCAATCAGCATTTTAATTCTAGCACTGCATACATACAAGCAGTAGATCACAGAATTCGCTTGTGTCCAGTTGAAGAATATGAATGGCAACGTGTATTTGTGTAGTGCTTTATGATTTACTTTACATAATTCTTGCATATATGCTTGTACTTGACCCTTACAGCAGTTCTTGCTTTGTCCCATGTGGCTGTGAGGTTGCTGGGCCAGGAGTCCTCGTGGGGCCACAGAGAGGGTCAGTGGCGAGCAGAGGCTGGGTATGTTGCTGGGCAAAGCTGATGCACTGCCTGGGTATGTGTTCTGCGAGGAGTTTGAAAGCATTGCTCCTTGTTTCATTTGGTGTCCAAGTCAGGCCAGTCAGTCGCTGAGGCTAGCACAGTTTCAGGGCATCATTCTTGGATTTCAGGCCTGCTTAACCATGAGCTCAAGCTACTTCTACAGAAAGACAGAGGGAAAGACAGATCTTGATTCCCATCCAAGGTGCATACGTTCTTGACATTCTTTCCGCACACACTTGGTCCTCTTAGGAGAACAAGCTGTCAGATTGTCAGCCTTTTCATTGTACGAGATCAAATATCAGTGCATCATTCAGAACTATAACACCATGCGGATTAGTCTAAGTCAACAAGCTTTTCACTGCCCCAGATTAGAATTCATTCATTTGAAAAGAAAACTCAGCGTCTGGGAAAAGGTACTTCCAAGTCACGTATTCTTGACCACGTAGTTGCTTTTCTGAAAATGTTGATACAGGCAAGCTGAATCACTCTTCAATTGACCTTTAGAGATGGTGTGTAAAAAAGGGGCCAGGGATTTAGCTCAGTGGTTTTGCCGCCTGCTGTGCAAGCACAAGGACCCAAGTTCAATCCCTGGTACCTCCCCCCCTCCCCAAAAAAAAGTAGACAAAGTACTTTTCCGATACATAAAGCTGAAGGCTGCCATCACAGACTAGGGGACTTGAACTTCAGAAATGGATTTTCCCACTGTTCTCGAGAGGCTGAGTCCGAGCTGGAGATGCCAGCAGAATCAGGGTCCTCTGAGGTCTCTCTGTGCAGCTTGTGGGTGGCCCTGGGTCTTGACATGGTCTTTCCTCCTTTGTAGTGTGCCCCTTCTTTCAGAGAAGGACCAGGCCCTACTCTGAAGACATCATTTTAGCTTAGTCATCTCTACCAGGACCCAGTACAGTCACTTTCTGAGGTGCTGGAGGTTAGGACTTTAGCATAAGATTTGCAGGGGAGGGTTTTGCTGTGCAGTTCAGCCACAAAAGAGGATAAGCACTCTTAGCCCATTCTCTTTCCTGGTGCAGCAGCCCTCCTTAGGTTTTCAGAATTCCTTTGTTCCCCTTGTGTAATGGAGGTGCTGCTTTATCAATCTGTGAAATCACCAGATACAGCCCGAAGGTTATGAAACCCTAACAGCCTGGATTCTGGGAACCTGAACCTGTTTGAATAGGTGAAGAGGCACTGAGCCAGCAGTGGCCTTAGATATGAGTCAGCCCAGGCCCTGCGCCTCAGGGTCCTCATCTGCAGTGCAGCACAGAGGCACATGGGTGCAGGTGTCAGATAAGATGGCACGAGTGTAAGTACTTCAGAGAATATAAAGCAGTTTGCAGATACAAAAATACTTCTTCCTATTGATGATAGAAGTGTGATCCTCTTTTTAGAAGGCATAGACCACACCCTTACCTCCTGATCATAACAAAAAGGAGTGCCTAAAGCTCATTGCAGTAGCTTTAGAGACTCTAAGTAAAAATTATTTTTAATAATCATAATCAGCTTAACAGATGATGCAAGCTACTGCTACAATTATTATAGTTTTTAAAAAATTTTGTAAGTATAAAGTAAGTCACTCTCCCACTGCTACCTCCTGTCCTGCAGATCTTCCCCTGAACATAGCCCTGGCCCCATACTCTGCAGTTTTAGTGACATATTGTGTATCAAACAAGAACATGTACATATATACAGCCTTACTGCTCTTAAGCATAGCTGGTAGTTCCCTCCCTTTTTCTTGTGGTGTTGGGCATCGAACCCAGGGCATTATGCATGCTAGGCAAATGCTCTACCACTGAGCTACATCCCCTGCTCTCCCGTGGTTTAGTCATTTAATATTATATCTTCAGTTATATTAATACTTAAAGTTACCTCATTCTTTTTAATGGCTACCTAATATTTACACTTTCTCTATATTCCCATTTTTCCCCCAATTATTAGCCACCCCCAAAAAGAATGCTTTCTCAGATTCATTAGTTCTTATATTTTGTTTTATAGCTGATCAGGTTCTGCTCTCTCTTGATTCTTTCCTTTGATTTATTTTGTTATTGCTTCTTCTTGAATGCATTTGTTTACATTGTCTTGTTTGTTAATATAAATACTTTAAGGCAGTGAATTTTCCTATGAATGGCACTTTAGCGGTATCTTACAGATTTACATAATGCTTTCATCAAAGTTCATTTTTTTATATGTACATTTTGCAGTTTGGGTTTTGATTTCCTCTTTGGCCTGGAAATTTGTTAAGATGGTAGTTTAAAAACTTAGTAAAAGAGATTTGTTTTATGTTTCATGACAGCTTTACTGTCATTGTTTTGTAATCAATCTTTTCTGAACCATTTCTACTCATTTGAAATCATACTTTTTATGTGTTAGTGTACAGCCAATTTCTCTGAATTTCCTCTGCACATTAAAAAGATGGAACATTGCCTGTTTAAAGTATATTGCTTAATGATTCTTAATTTGCCTACCTCATTAATTATAAGATAGAGGTCTTCACTGCCCTTATATATTAGTCCATTTGCTGTGCCTTATGTTTGGAAAGGTGAATTACTCTCATACTCTACATGTCTCTCCTTGTAGCTTCTGTCATTTTTGCTTTTAAAACTTTGGCACTATCATTTTCAGTCAACAGATACACATGACTTGGGTTTTCACAATGAATTATATTTTCTATCATTTTAAAGAGCTTTTCTGGGACTCATTTAATGCTTTTGGCTCTGACTTACTCTATGTCTGAAATACATGTTGATGGCTCTCTAATTTAAATTTCCTAGTTGTAAAACTCATGTGTCACCCTTTCTTTTGCTCACTATGTTGAAATCTGTGCTCCGAGGTCTCAGCATTGTTGATTCATATGGAGGAACACAGAGCCATGTGAAACATAACTTGACCATTTTTTGGATTCTTAAAGGGTTCTTCCTTTATTTTGAAATTTAGTAGCTTTTCCCAGGATATTACTCTATTCCTCTTTGAACCTTAGATTGAAACCTTTTCTTGTTGTTTCTAGAAATACACTGAAATTATATCTTTGAATTTAAAAAGTTTGATAGGCATTGTCCTCTTTATAATTATTTGTCATGCATCACATGTCCTTTGTCTCTTTTCTCCTGAATCCTTTTTAATTTTGGGTTATTTTGCTTGCTCACTCACTCCTGTCCCCCTGTCTCCCACTGTTGTTTTCAGGAGAGCTCATCAGTAGAACAGTCATTTCTTTGAGATTTTCATTTGTCTCTTCCATCTCACTTTTTGGGATCTGTCACCTTAGTTTCAAAATCTTCTATTGCTTTTTGGTTTTTGGACTCATATCTCTCATATGTTCACGTTGGTTGTTCTGCTGCATTTTCTTTAAATGCTTTTCCAGCCATCTTTTCTTAATTTTCATCAGCTTGGGGATTACATATTCTTCATTTGTCATGTGCTTGTCTTGTTCCTTTTCTCACTTTTTGTTCTTATTTTTCCACATCATTTATTACTCCTTTTATTAGTACTATTCCTACTTCTTATCTTTTTTTTTTTTTAGTACCGGGGATTGAACTCAGGTCCTTCCGCTTTGTGCAGCAGGTGGCGAAACCACTGAGCTAAATCCCCAGCCCCCTGCTTCTTATCTTTGAATAAGATGATTTTTTCCTGGGTGCAGGGTAGCTAGGGTTAGGACACTGTTTGGGCTAAAGTGGTTTCTTCTGGCTTAAATTAACATCGATTCTCCTTTGTAGGGAGCAGCAGGAGGAGGAGCGGGGATCACAGGCACTTAATGCTGCTTGCATTCAGAACCCTTCATTTCCCCGAGGTGCTAGTGTGTGAACTTGAGCAGCCATGTCCCTACAGGGATCCCTTTGGCCCACCTCAGAGTTCCCCTGTAACTGGCAAAGTGTCCCTTTCTGTGTTTGCTGAGTTCCATTCCCATTCATGTCCACTGTCTGGGGCCTCACTGAATCCATGACACACGGCAACCTTTCCAGATATTTGACCATCAGAGACTTCAGATGATTACCGATTTCATCAAAGACTGAGCTTATGTTTTACTTTTCGGTATCTTCAATTTTAAGGTGATTTTTTAAAAGATAAGAGACATTTCGTTATCTTAAAAGCAGAAGTACAAACTAATACTCATTAACTTTGACAATAATGTACAAAGTGTGATTAAAAAACATGGTGGATGTTACAATTGTTTTTTCATTCATTACAGCAAAAGATGCATTGCCATTAATCACCCTCAAAATATTCCCCCTCACTTCAAACACATGTCTACCACCCTATTTGCTACTCTCTGAAGCAGTCTGGAAGTCCTTTTCATGAGAGACTGTAGTTGTGCTATTGTGGATGTCTTAAATTGATTCAAACCATTTATTTTTCATGGTCTTTTTTACTTTGGGGAAGATGCAGTAATTGTACAGTGCCAGATCTGGTGAATAAGGTGGACAAGGACACACTGCAATGTTTTTATGAGTCTGTTTTTCTGTAGGATGGCACTCATAACAGCATTCACCGTATTTTTGATCACACCTCATAAGGATACTTACAGAAGACTTCCAGAACTGCTTCATAAAGTGGCAAGAACGATGGGATAACTGTGTTCAAAGCAAAGGGTCGTACTTTGAGGAGGACTGGCAATGTATCTGTTACTGTAATAAATTTTGTAATGTAAGCATTGACTGTATATTTTGATCATACCTCATATGTACCAGTTACACCAGAGTTAGACCTGCTGTATGGATGAGGGGCTTAAAGCCTGAGAGTTACTATAACAGTCTTGAGCCAGAATCCCAGACATGGAATCCTGTCTTACACTCGCCATGTAAATAAAGCCCCAGTGTTTCTCCTGTGTCCACAAAGGGGACCCTTTGTTGCTCTGTTGCTTTCATTAAGCTCTGATTCCATTACAGTGGCTTTATGGATGAGCTAGCATTTATACATTAAACTTAGTCTTAGCCTACATTAGAGGAACTCTTAACCAAACCAGAGAGGAGAGGAAGAGCAACAAGACATTGAACATTCACTGGACTTCTGCTGTCTGCAGGCTTAAACTTCTATGGCGTTATCTCCTTCAATCTTCACAGGGCAAAAGGTCCTAAGTAATGTCTCAAAGTCACCAACAGGGCAGTGTTGGTACTCCAGCCTTGGTAACCTCTCCACCAGGCCTTTCTGTCCCCTGGGTTACCATACTCATTCAGTTAACAGTCTCAACTCCGAGTCTGGGTTCTGTAAAAATGAGAAGATCCACAAGGGAACTCACAGATGTTTTGTTTTCATCTTTCAAGCTGGGTAATACTGCTAGTTTCCACGGACTAAGGAGCATTCATAAACACACCCAACACTTAACTCAGCATGTTTTCTACTAGCAGTTTGTGGCTGTTAATTATTTCCTATGAGATAAGTCATTGCTATCTCATTTACGGATGAGGCAGGCAGCATGGAGAGAGGTTAAGGGATTTTTCCAGAGTCAGCAATAAGTCCCGGGAGGGAAAGCTGAGGCTGGGGCTCTTCATCCCAGGCTAAGCCTGTGACTCGAGGACCCTGCTGAAGACTTTCGGCATCCTGGCTCCCTTCATCACCTGCACTGTAGAAACTGATGCTGTATCTCACCTGTGCCATTATCCAGCCTGTGTAATGCTAAACATGGTAGCAGATGAGAAAAGAGAAGTGAAATTAAGGATATTTTACTACGGAAGTTGTTTTTCCACAAAACATTTCAGACCAGGAAGCTGCAAACATTTTAGTGAAGAATTACTAATAACATTTTCTTGATAAAATTTACATAGAGAAGGGTTTTAGGGAAGGAACAGGCTTATTTGGAAATGACTTTCAAGCAGTAGAAAGTGAATTGAATTTCCGTTTGTTCTTTTGGCTGCTTTTACTTTCAAGAGGAAATAACCTTTTTGGAATATATAAATATATAGCCACACAAAATACAGCTACCTTTAAAAAGTAAGCAGGAAGAGAGGACATGAAATTTGCCCCCCACCAATATCTTATTTTGAAAATCTTGCATTACAATAGAAATGGTCTCACTTTTCATTCAGTAGGGTTCAAGGACTATCAGAGAATTTCTTATTTTTCTTTAGTGACATTTTAATATATTGAATTTTAAACATAGTAACACTTTTGCAGGAGCAAGTATGTAAGCAACAAAAGAAAAAGTACACTTAATATGTAGGTAGGTGTCACAGCACACTTCCGTTTTGTATGTGAAGTCCATTATCTCCAGTGATAACTTTGTTGACAGCACCCACAAATATATTTGGAGTCAGGTTTTATACAGTGTATGCAGAATCGTGTGACTAAGAGTCCCAGCTCATGACATGTGTCAGCCTCAGATAGATGGTACATTTTCTGTTTTAAAGACTCAAACAAAACTTTTCACATTCTTCTTTGGAAAAAAAAAATTACATTTGAAGTCTTTTTCACCCAAACACATTTGGAGATAAGAGCTCACAAGTCTTGACATTATTTCATTTTGTTATGCGCATCTGTCAAGGAACCGAGATATGATACAGCTACTAAAAACTGATGATTGTGGAACAGAGAAACTTGACAGCATTTCATTTCCTTTATGTTCTGATTACACATTTATCAGAAAACCTGTATCTCTTCTAGTTCAGCTAGAAATTGGTAGAATTCAGGAACTCAAAGGCTTGGCAAAGGCCTGTCCTTTTATTTGGTATCATCTTACATTTTAGAGAAGTTGCTTGGCTGGGTCATTGTTAAAGGTTTTGCTTCTCTTTTCATTATTGTGGCCCACAATATCCACAGATCACATTTCTATGGGTCCTATGACTGCTTTGCCACACAAATTAAACGCTGGGATAGTTCATACTATCCGAAGCATTTCAATGCTTGTCAGTCAGAGTTTATAAAATATAGGGATTACAACCTGATATTAACATCCAAATCTATTGTGCTCATTTTATGTGCGAAAATGAGAAACCCTCGTGCAGACGCTAGATTTCCCAGCCTCTTTGTCACTCTGTTTTTAATTTATCTTCAGGTTTTGAGTCAGTGAAATGATTTTGCTTATCAGTTTAATGAAGCGATAAAACATATCTGTGAATCAGAATGATCAGAACTAAAGTGGATCTACAGGTGGTTTGGCATTCAGCCGAGCCCAGCTAAGGGTTTTAGTGGGCCAATTCTCCATAGAATATATACATGCCTGTTCTTTAACTGTGCCTCAGTGAATGCTAAGATTTGCTTCACATGAAGAAGTGGACATAGGAACACATTGCTTTAGAGAAGAGGATGTGAAAACTTTAGAATGTATTCTTTTTAGCTTTTTTTTTTTTTTTTTAAACAGGTGTACTTCAAAAGAAATTATCCGGGCATTGCTCACACTGGCTCTGTGGTTATGAACACTTCCAATGGACAGCCCTCAGCCTTAACAATTTTTGAGACAGCACTGTGATTCTACCAAGATGTCAAGTCAATATGTTCCAAAGACTTTTTCCATAGTTTTTGCACTATATAAGCTACATTGTACTTTTTCTTCAAACTCTAGCAAAAAAAATGTACACATGCAAGATGTCCGTGTATTTGGATTGCCCCCAACTTCATCCAATAATTTCAAGCTTTAAGAAAGTGTTTTTTTATTTCAATATTATAATTAAAAATCCAAATCAGAGGTGCAGGCCACCAGTAAAAACAGCCTACCAGGTTTGGTGCCTTATCAGACTCCAGAGCCAAATCCCATTCATTGTGTGAGGAATAGAGCAAAGTTGTCACCAGTTGGTTGTTTTTGTTTTTGTTTCCTGTTGACCTCAAATTATCTGTTAGTTTCCAGGGATATCAGAGATTCTGTTTACTTGAAGACTGTGTGAAGGTTGTCATTTTCTCACCACTTTAACATAACTAGGATCTACTGTGTCCCCAAAGGCTGCTAATTAAAACAGTGCAGATAAAACTTAGAAAATATATATATGGACATTGTAGTAGGGAGAATCTGCCCCCCGAAAAGACCTATGGTTAAAGTATAGAAGGAAAATGTTGTATGCTCTAATAAGAAAGAGAAAATAATGTTTTTTTCAAAATGGGATCCCTTCTAGGGAGTTTGATAACAAAGGACGCATGTAGGGACAGCCTCATCTTTAGAGCTGCCTGAGTTGGACACGGAACTGTGTTTTGGTTCCAGACTCAGAATGGTGATACTTTCCAAAAAGGCCAAACATATGAGTATAACACTTAAAACATGTATTATTTTGATTTGGATTTCTGGTTTACAGAAGGTAAACCCTGTATTGACTATAATCTTTTTTGGTTTAGCTTTTCTTGAAGTCCTTCTAAAATTGCATGCATAGACTCTCCTGAGTTGGTGAGAAAAAGTGAAAATCGTAGCACTCATTGACTGTAATTATGCAGTACTTTCTCAGGATGCGTCCAGAGGCTTCACTTTGATGAGCCTGTCCAGATCAGTTTACTTCTGACCACTAATAGAGTTTCTTTAGGTCATTCTGGTTAGTGAATCAACAAACCACAACACTTCCTAAAGCCAACAATAATTCATTTGACCCATTGGCCTTTACTTTTTCTTGATGGTGACACCTATGAGGTGTTGAGTTCAAGTTACTGAATGTTCACTATCGCAGTTTAAGGTGGACTTGACCTCTCAGAATAAGTTGAAACCACCATCAAGTTGCATATATTACTACACACACAGGTGTGTATATATGAGCTATACTTAAATGCCTGTAGATAAGGTGGTTTGATTCATTAACAGAACACCTGTTTTGTAAAATGAAGCATAAAAAAGCACACATAGCAAATCACCAAAATACATTAAGTGAAGTGGCTGTTTGGGTCCTTGTATTTGGAAATCGGTGATTAATGTTTAGTCCAATAAATCATGCACACTAAATTGTTTATTAATAGTCATGGTTTAGTATTTCAGAAGACTGAAATGACAATGATGATAATGAGGTCTGTTTAAACACTAGAAATGTTTTAAATGTATATATGTTTATTTGGTCTGTAGAGATCAAAGGCAGTCATATAAATATGTTTCTGTTTCATTTCTGTTTTAATGTCATCACAGGATTTTTAATGAAACAAAATTCAATTGAAATAAATGACGGTTTTCATCTCCATTCAGAGATCTGTGTTTTTGTTCTTAGAGGGATTACTGACTCATGTCCTTGCTGATGAAAGCCACTAGGTTTTCCTGAGATCAAAAAAAAAAAAATCTTCTGTTATCCGTTGGTTCTCTTGGGTACTTACGTGTATCAAATGTTCTAAGCAGATGTGTGGGTTGCATACAGACTGAAAAGTGTCTGTTGAAAGGGTCCAGTCACTCCCTTTCTTAGAAAAGAGAGTATATTGGCTTATGCCCAAGGCTCAAACAGGTATTAAATAGTTGAGGTTTTGTTTTTTAACTTGATTTTTTCCTAAGCTAACAAGAAGCCTCCATGGCCGCTCCATTTAAAACACTACAGAATATTGGTTCCCAAAATGTGGTGCATGGGCCACCAGCATCACAAAGGAACTTACTACAAATGCATATTCTTTCGCCTCACCCAGATCTGTTGAATCAGGAACCTGTAATCTGTTTTCACAAGCCCTACGGTTGATTCTGGTGTAGACTGTAGTCAGAACCAGTGCCATGGAACATAAAGAACACCTAAGGAAAAAACAGAAAGTCCAGTTAGAGAAATAGACAAGGGACTTGAATAAATGCTTCACAAAAGAGAATATCCAAATGGTCAGTAACGAAAAACATTCATTCTTGTTGGTTACTGGGGAAATGCAGGTTGACACAAGGAGAGACCACTAAACACCCACCAGAATGATTAAAATGAGAGATTGAGCACACCATCAAGTGCCCATGAAGTAATGGGAACACTCACACATTGCTGTGTATCTGACAATGTTTACTGAAGAAAAAAAAAAACTAGAAAACAGCCTGACAGCATTTGCACAAACTGCACACTCTGCTAAATTGTTCTCCAAATATGTACACCTGCGCACCTAGAGTCAAGGTTGTTCCTAGAAACAATTCCTAAGAGCTCAGACTGAAAATGATTGAAATGCTCATCAACAGCAGAAGGAAAATGAGGTAGTAGAATACATCAAGGAAAGCATCAGAGGTGTATTTCACAAACATTGTTCCAAGAAGTGTGAAGCCCCCAAATTTGTGATTCCATCTATACAAAGTTCAAAAACAGTTATAACTACAGGCAGAACAGTACTTTAACTTCAGAAGATGGAAAGTATAGGTAACTGGGAGAAGTAGAAGGGAATCTTCTAAGGTGCTTAAAATGTCCTTGGGTACTCAGAGACAAGCAGGAGGATTGCAAGTTCTAGTCCCACTTGGGCAACTCAGCAACTTAGACTCCGTCTCAAAAAAGGATGAGGATGTAGCTTAATGGCAAAGGCCCTGCATTCAGTCCCCCACTACCACAAAAAACTTGGTGTTTTCATTTTGCCTGGATGGCTACATAAATATTCATTAAACTTCATATGTTCTCTTCACTTTTATATATCATACTTGACAATTGAGCTTAAAGATGTTCATGACATTATTTTTCTTTAGAATCTCAAATTCAGCAACTCAGTCTTCTCAAAGTGAATGCTTTGCATCTGGAAAACTATTTCTACTGAGTTCTTAGGATACTGTTCCAAGGTTATCTTGTGTGTGGCCCATAGCAAAAGAAGCATTTGAAGCTCTTGGTACATGAGAAGCCAACACTATGTTTTCTCTAACCAATTAATAAAATAAATCTCTCCTCTCAAATTCCAGGATAAGTACAAGAATAAAAAACTATAGCATTTAAACTAAGGTTGAAGTGGATTAAAGATCTAAATATTAAGACAGAAACACTAAACTTGCTGGAAGATAAGTTGAACTCTTGAAGACATTGGCATAGGAAAAGACTTTATGAACAAAACCTCAGTAGCATGAGAACTAGAACAAAGAATTAGCAACTGGGATCTCATTAAAAAGCTTCTGCACTGCAAGAGAAACAACCAGCAGAGCTAAGAGACAACCTACAATGTGGGAAAAAATTTTTAGCAGCTGTACCTTAGACAAAGGACTACTATCTAGAATATATAAAGAACTGAAAAAAATCAGACACCCCAAATTTAAAGACCTAATTCAAAAATGGGCATCTGAAATGAACAGACATTTCTGAGACAAAGAAATAAAAGCAGGAAATAAATACATAAAAAAAATATTCAAATCACCGGTCATTTGAGAGATGCAGATGAAAACAACACTGAGATTTCACCTCACCCCAGACAGAATGGCTGCTATCAAGAAATCAACCAATAACAAATGCTGGTGGGGGTGTGGGGAGAAAGGAACCCTTCTCCATTGTTGGTGGGAGTGCAGACTGGTGCAACCACTGTGGAAATCAGTGTGGAGATACCTCAAAGAACTAGGGCTAGAAGTCCCATTTGACCCAGCTATTCTGCTGGGTATCTTCCTCAAAGAATTAAAAGAATCATAGCACAGCAATATATGTGCACCTATGTTTATAGCAGCACAGTTTGTAATAGCTAAAGCTTGGAAACAGCCCAAGTACCCATCAACTGGAAACTGGATAAAGAAGATGTGGGTATTTTTAATAAAATGGAGTACTACTCAGCCATAAAGAAAAAGAAACTAGAGACATTTATAGCTAAATGGATACACATTGAGGCCATCCTCTTAATTGAAATAAATAGGACACACATGTAAATACCGAATAGTTTCTCTAGTGTGAGAAACTGAAAGTGTAATTAAGGATTAAAAGGATTAAAAGAATAATCAATAATTTGAAATAGAAAGATAAGGTCCAAAAGTGTACGGGTGGTGGGAGGGGAAGGGGAAAGGGAAGAAGGGAAAGGAAAAATTATGAGAAAAGAAAAAAATGGAAACAAAGTCTGTGTAAATAGGGAAGGGTGAAGGGGGTGAAGGACACACAGATAATGGGGGAAAAATAACGAAGATACATCATGTACAGGTACAAGCACCCAATGATAAATGTAAATGTACTGTATACCTAAAGTGTACCAATAAAAGAATTTAAGGAAAAAAAATTATAGCATTTGGGGGAAGTATTTTTATAATGACTTTGTCACAGTATAACTGATATAGAAAAGTTGTATATACAGTCTGCAAAAAAAATGTATACAGGAAAAGAAAAACTATAAATATTTTAATACTAAATTTATTGAGATAGCATGAGATTAATGCAAGTTACCTTTGGCCTCTACAATTACAAGAGGTGCTCAAAGTGGAGGCCAGTAGCTTCCAGACATTTATTAGTATGGCGA